AAATGATGATAAATCACGAATTATTCAAAATGTTAAAGTTAATGTTAGCCCTGAATTAACAAGGTCAGCAACTCAACCAAATTTATTAACTCGTGACTTACCGAAGAATGAGGAGAATGAAGAAAACCATGAGAATGGAGACCCAATCATTTTATCTGAACCCGGTAAAGAACCCGTTGAAATCCCCACATATCCAACATACCCCCCACCTCTTTCATCAAACATCGAGAACCCAGGAATATACGATTCCAGTCGCAATGCGCCATATAAAATAGACATTAATTCTGAATTAATGAAAATTTACCGTGATATAATAACTGATAATTATGATTCAATAATAAATTTAATTGATCAATCCGGTTTAATTATTTTACCTTATGAATCATTAATTCACATTATCGCCATTCTTTGTGATGTTCAAGATTCAGACGTTAAGATTCAATTTTTCATAGATGATGAGGTTTCATGCTGCGGAACAGTTGCAAAAATAAATCCTATAAAGGATATTAGCACAATTAAGATATCAAAGAACGGAACAACAACTGAACTTCATTTAACATATAATGATATTTATAATAAAATAGTTGATGAATATAAAATATCACTTGAAAAATTCTTTGTTAAGGCTATTTAATATTCAAGCATTAACATTATTGAATAATAATCCTTTGAATCATAATCAATAATAATTGACCTTTCACCAGTTTCTATCGTTTGTTTTATTTTTTTTGTTCCCCACTATCTGGATCGGTCATTGTAATTGTTTTTGTTATAGTATCAGCTTTATCTTTAACTTCAATCTTTTTTCCATCAGGATATTTAAACCAAAATTCCAAAAATTCGATATTGTCAATCTGTTCATATTTTAATCTATCAATTGCATTTTTAATACCATCTGAAAATCTTATGAAATGGTCATTATATGGGTTTGATTGAACTAAATTTGAATGAAGTGAAATATAACCCGATGATGAATATGACATTGACTCATATTTTCTGAAAACACTGAAATTTATAACATGAATGAATTTCTTATTCGTTGAATTTATGAATTCTTGAGGTAATCTTATTCTAGTTTTATTTATCACTGGAAAATAACGCTTTACCATATTTTTAATCGTAATAAAAATGTCAATTATCAATATTATTTCGAATAATAGTTGTGAATTAAATTTAACAGTTAGTGGAATTTATAATGTTACTCTCGTTTCTGTGAGTGGTAAATTTAATCCCATTCTTTTAGACCCTTCAGATTATATATCATTTATTAAAGATGACCTTGAAAAAACGTATGATATGTATATAAATAATGTGATAACGAAATGGGATATTAACACAATTTTAAGTTATTTAAATGAATCATTTATCGTTTGGTATGAAGAAAATTTTAAATCAAAACCTGATAAACTTTTTGAACTTGATGAAATAAATAACCTTATTAAATTCCCGCTGAAAATTAAATTTTGTACTCCTCATCTTCGTTCAATGTTGGGGATATTAAATTTTGAAAAAGATGTTGGGGATGTTTTGTATTCTGACACTGGTTCCAATTTCATTTTAATCAAATGTGATAAAGTTAATACCCCAATGAGATTTTCACATCAAACATTAGACCCTAACTCTTACCCATCAATACAAAACATTTTATCCATCAACTTAAACATATTTTCTTTATCATATCCGTTTCAATTATCCGGGAATTCATTTATTCTTCATTCAAAAGATTTATCAAATATTAAATTTAGAATAACTGACCTATTTGATTGTGATTTAGAATTTATGAATGAAATATTATGGCAATTTCAAATAGAAAAAATAGCTGATGAGATAACAGATTAAATATTTATTTTTAAATCATAATAAATGATTAAACAACAGCAACCACAGCAACTTAAGGCACAGACCATTACATACGCACATATGCATATAATTCAAAGACGGCAGAACAAACGCAAAGGTTGAAATATGGAGATTTGGAGATAGTATTGAAAAATGACCATTTTGAATTCGTTTGCAAGGGTGGTGCAGTGATATCAAATATAAAAGAAATTTTATTTATGAATTCAAAAATTAAAGGAATAACGGATGATATAACATCAATTCCACCAGAAGAACAAAGATATTACGCATTAAATGCATTTCCTAAAGTTTTGAAGATTGGAAGATTTAATTTAAATGAGGAATTCATAGAAGGTTTCCTAAATGACATAATGAAGAAAGCAGATAAGGAATATGTGGATAGTGAGTTAATGAAGAAGGCAGATAAGGGACTTGTGGCTAGTGCATTAATGAAGAAAGCAGATAAGGAATATGTTAATGAAAAAGATAATGAAATTATCGAAAAGGTTGAATGGTACCATGAACGGACATCGAAGATTTTAAAAACTAAAGCTGATACAGGATGGGTTTCAGAATGTTTAGACCTTAAAGCAGATAAAACTTATGTTAACGATGAGTTAGAGAAGAAAGCAAATAAAGAATATGTGAATGAAATATACCAAAGTTTGATAGGAACAACTAAAAATATTGAAACTATTGCTGGTGACTTTTTCGTCTATGAAGAAAATAAATATTTTAGAGGGCAATTGGTACATTCCTTAAAAAATGGTATACGGTATAAACTCATTCCGAAAAATAACAATGAAATGTATGTAAGTTATAAAAAGAATGATGACACACAAGTTAAAGTTCCATTAGACAACAACTGTTACTTAAACTTATATGGAGACGAACAAAAGAAATATTTAAGAGTTTATGAAATGACGGATATGACATTACCTAACGTAGCTCCAGCACCATATTATTATGACTATGGTGTTGACGCACGTGTAGACCCAAAAAAGCAAACATTATATTTAGATTATTATAGATATAAAAGATATAATGCAATAGAAAAAACGAGAATAGTATATTATTATATAGATGACAAAAATAAATATTATAGTCAAGATTTTACATACCCTGAAAACATAAGATTATATTATAAAAAATATTCTGACACAAACCAGAAGAAACCCGAAATAGTTACACTATATTTTAAGTTCAAAAGAGACAATCCTATATTATCTCATATGTTTGATTTAATGAACCCAGTAGGTTCTATTTATACATCTATGGATGTGAGAGGTCCTCAAGCAATGTTTGGTGTTGGTGCATGGGAACAAATAGTCGACAGGTTTTTGTATTGTGCAAACTCTTCAAAGGAAACAGGGGAAGTAAAACGATTACAGGTGAAAATTTACCTGCACACAGTCACTACATAGATTTAAGTACATCTCAAGCGGGTTGGCATAAGCATAGATATTGGGATTGGTCAGGAATGACAAAAGGTAAAGGATATGATGTTAAAGACAACGTTAAGTTTGCCATAAATTGTTACTGGAGTGACACTCAGGGAGAAGGAAACCATACACATCGCGTTTCAGGATATACACAAACAACGGGACAAAGTAAAGATTACATGCCACATTTATGACTGTATTCGCATGGTATAGAGTTCAATGAACGCTCAATGTTTGTGAAACAAACTTTAGGAGCTCCAAAAGAGCAAACGGCATAATTTAAATTTTTATTTTAGTATAAATGAAGATTCTACCATATGGTGTTATTGGAAGAGATAAAGATGGAAACCCAATATTTGATCCAAAGTTAAAATTAAAGTTACTGACAAGACAACAACTTGAAAAGTTGCTGAAACCAAAACAGAATGAGAAAATGAGAAAGAAAAAAAATTTAAATTATGCAATTTTATTTTTATCATAAATGACCAAATTAATTAAGCCAACTATTTCTAAATTAATGATACCAATGAAATCATTTCGTGGAGTACTTATCCCAGGTTCTTCACAATTAGCCGGGGCAAGTGTTGTGACTCAAGGTGGAACATTAGCGAATCCATTCAAATTATTAACTAAAGATGAACTTAATAAAATGATGATAAAATAACTGATAACAAAATTTTATTTCACTGCTACCATAAAAACAGGTGAAAAAACAGGTGAGATCTCACCTCTTCACCTAAATTATATTTTTGTTCAAAGCTTCCACGAGAGAAAAGATTCCTCATTCGCTAAGGATTCCAAAAATGAAAAAATCATTGATTTCGGCTGAGAAAAAACAGCAAAACCCTTCTTCCACGGGAACAAAGAAATAAAGAAGAAATAAAGAAGAAATAAAGTAAATTTTTTATTTCCCAGTTATTCAATAATTAATTATTATTGAAGAACTGAAGGTGTCACTATGTCACTCAGTGTCACTCGGTTATTTAACTTCTCTGAAAAATTGTGACAACATGACATTTTGACAACAGGTATGGAAATATGTGTTATTGTTAATGTTTATGTTAATGATTTCAGGTTATTCAATAATTAATTATTATTGAAGAACTGAAGGTGTCACTATGTCACTCAGTGTCACTCGGTTATTTAACTTCTCTGAAAAATTGTGACAACATGACATTTTGACAACAGGTATGGAAATTTGATGCAGCCCAAAAATAAAGTTAGTTTTAAAATTATTTTTATTTTTTTATTCCTATATAAATGACAACAACAAACAACAACAGCAACTTTATCGTTTCTGATGAAAAAGTTATTGATTCATTAGCTGAGGAATTAGTTGTGACAGAAACTAAAACCCTCAACGAAAGAATTGGTGAAAACAAGATTGATTTACATAACTACCTCAAACACGATGGAGGAAGAGGAAGGAAAACTGGTATGGCTTTATTAGTAAATAAAATTTCAAATTTAACGATTATAGATGTTGATATCAATAAATCATACAATGATGAACTTAAAGAAACAGTTAGAAAAGACATTTTATCAAAACTTTCGGATAAAGATGTTATCGTTAAAACCGCTTCAGGAGGTCTTCACATTTATTGCAACACTAATTTCTTTTATTCAACCTCGAACAGAATGATTAAATGTTATTCCTGCAATGATTATGATATTGATATAATGACTTCTATGGATGATTCAAAGCGTTCTTTAGTAGTTATGGCTGATTCAAGAGTTCGCAAGAATGCAACAGAACCAATCAATACATACTCATTCATTCGTGGAAGTTACGACTCGACCATAACCAGAACAGTGAATGATATATTAAATGATTTGAATATTAAGGTAAGAGTTGAACAGAAGAACGAAGAAATAAAGACTATCATGAATGAAAACAAAGATGTAAACATTGACGATAAACTTGCCCAGAGCATAGTTGATGGCATCTGTGATTTTGAAGTACATAATGACGGTGGAAATATGAATTTAGAAAAAGAAGTTACATTATTCACACTGTTTCAAGCTATTAATTCGTTACCTAATCATTTAATTAATGAAGCATACGATAACGTTTATAACTTCTGCAATTTAACTGAAAATGCAAAAAGTAATTTTGAAAAAGCACGTAATAGATATGCACATTTAATGACTTCTCCATTTGTTTTAGTGAAGATTCTAAAAATATATCAAAAGGAATATTATGATGAATATGTTTTACCTTTATTACGTAAGCCAAAAATAACATTTGATATCAAACTTGACGACTCGTTTTTGATAACAGATATTAGACGCAAGGCTGAAAATCATCAGTATAAAAACAGTTCTGAAGTAATTGAGGATTTATCACGTGTAATCCGTTTTGTAGATTGTGGAAATAAATATTTCATTCAAAAAGATTACAACATACACGATAAAATGAATCAAATATCATTCGTTCTTCAATCAAACATGAAAGAGTCACTCAAAATGATTAAATTATTTAAAGAAGAAGGTAAAACAATAACAGCATGGGATGTACTACTAAATCAATTATCCTCATTAACCGTTAAGGGTGTTTGCTTTAAATCTGATTCCCCCGATGTTTTCTCACGTTTCATGGTTATAAATACAACATTCTTGAAAAGCCTGATTACTCAAAAATTGAGATGTTTATGAATTTCATTAAAGAAACCATTTGTGATAATAACGATGAAGTGTATAAATACCTTCTCGGCTGGATTGCATCAATGATTCAACATCCTGGAATCAAGAATGAAACAGCAATTATTTTGAAAGGACTTCAGGGAACAGGTAAAAACAGATTTACTGACATTATTTCTGAACTTCTCGCTGGTTATTCATGCAAAAACATTACTGAAATAGGTGAGCTAACGGGTAATTTCAACTCAGTTGTTGAAAATAAAATGTTTCTTGTACTTAATGAACTCAAGAATGTTGGTGAAGACAGACTCGCAAACTTCAACGCTTTGAAATCAATTATTACGGATAATGAGATTAGAATTAATGAAAAGAATCAACCCAGAGAACAGCACAGAACGTTGCAAACTTCATTTTCGTAACTAATAACGTCTACCCTGTCAAAATTGAAGTTGGAGACAGAAGATACGTAGTTTTAAGAGTTAATGGTAAATTCAAGGGTCAATTTGATTACTTCAAGAATTTGATGGATTCATGCACAAAGGAATTTATGATAATTTACTGACGTATTTTATCAATTACGACCTTTCATCATTTTAATGTACGAATCATACCGATGACTGAAGCCAAACAAGATTTAATTGAATTATCAAAACAAATCCTTTAGATGTATGGATAAATACACATTATGATGAATTGTGTGCAGGTATGACGTGTAAAAAATGCTCTATTCTGCAAACCATCAGACATGAAAGACAAAAACTTTCAAATGAGCATTAAAGATAAATGTGATAAGAAACAGAGAAGAATAGATGGTAAACAAACATGGTGTTATGTTTTGAAAGAAGAAATGAAAGGATTATATAAACAGGTTGAACCAAACGATAATGATGATTCATTTACTGACGATGAAATACCTGTAAATGAAGCTTTATAAAGTATGATTTGAATTTATTTTTGCATTAATCCTGTGATGTTGTCAAAATGTCATGTTGTCACAATTTTTCAGAGAAGTTAAATAACCGAGTGACACTGAGTGACATAGTGACACCTTCAGTTCTTCAAAAATAAATAATAAGTGCCTTCCTCCTTTCATACCTGTTGTCAAAATGTCATGTTGTCAAAATGTCATGTTGTCACAATTTTTCAGAGAAGTTAAATAACCGAGTGACACTGAGTGACATAGTGACACCTTCAGTTCTTCAAAAATAAATAATAAGTGCCTTCCTCCTGTGTTGTTGTCAAAATGTTATGTTGTCTCAAACTTTAGAACGGACTGAAAGTCCTGAGCTCCAAAAGAGTAAACGGCATAATTTAAATTTTTATTTTTATCATAAATGAATACCCCACAAGCTCAAAATTTACCACGAATCATAACAAGGGAGGAAATGATAAAAATGATGCAAGAACATGTTAAAAATAACAAACCACTAAAACTGAGAAAATGTGGTTATGCAGTAATGATGGAAAGAGAGATGTTGTCGAAGAGGAATAAAAATTAAATTTGGATTGAGTTTAAAAATTCATCTTTATTAAATTCATCTCTTCCAATCAATTTATTTATTCTATTAAATTCTTTTATTTTTGCTTCACTCAGTTTAAGGATTGAACGGTAAGTTTCTAATTTTTCGATTATTTCTTTCCTCTCTTTATCGTTTTCAACCCCACCGCATTGTGGCTTCTTTTTGTAATAGCATATTTTTGATTTAATTCTGTTTAGTTTCTTTTTATATTCATTGTCTGGACTCTTGGATGCTTCGTTGTCACTCATTTCTTACGAAATAAAAAAATTAAATATTATTTAAATATAATGGAGTAATAAAATAAATCGGAATTTCTATTAATTTATTGTTAACCTCAACTAATGCATTGCCGTTAATATATCTAACAAATTCAGCTATTGTGTCAAATCTTCGTCTTCTTTTTGTCATTGATTTATCAGTTTTTCCATAATCGAGATGAATCAAAACTTTATCCCCTTGTTTAAAATTCATGAGCCCCGAATTAATTTGTTCACGTTTAACATCATTCAACCTTTCCATTTGCTTTCTAATATATTCCCATTCTTTTGAAATATCATTTTTCATTTCCACTGGTTTCATGTTTATTGTTCTATGCCATGTATTATTGTAATAATATACTAACTGTTGTATGATGGAGTCATGATTTCCATCCCAGTATATCTGACCGTTAACCCCTAACGCATCTCTAAGAGTTCTCATTACCGCATCAACTATTTTATTATGAAACGTATATGGAGAGGATGAAAAGTAAAAATTAATTTGTGGGAAATAATGAGTCATAGCTGCCTGAAATCCTTTATCACCATCACCCCTGATATTATCTACTCTTTCATGATCTAGTAAGTATTGAATAGCTCTTCTTGTTTCCTGTTCTGTTTTCCCTTTCACTGGAATGCAATATAAATATCTGGTGTTAATGTTAATGGTAAATAAATAAGTAACGTTTCCTTTTGAATATTCTAAATGATCGATTTCATATGAATATGGATATGGTGCAAATGAAGGGCGACTAAATTTTTCCTTTAACGGTTGAATTTTTGGGTCAATTGGTTTATTTAATATCTTGAAATCCTTTTTAAAATCTTTTTGTTTCTTTAATGTTTGAAATGGATATAATAAAGTGAATGATGAAGATTAACTGAAGGAGGAGGTTTTGGTGTTGCAGGTACTGTCGTTAGAGGTTTTGGTGTTGCAAGTGGTTTAATTTTATCTGCTTTGATTTTGGATGATGAAGTTTTGGAATTCCTTCCTTCCTTCATTAATTCTGGATGTATTCTATTCATTTGTTTTAAATATGCTGTATATAAAGGTTTAATATACTTTCCCGCTTCGAGTTTATGTTGAAGGATGAATTCCAAAAGTTGATCTTCATTTAAAAGTCGGGCTGAATATGGTTTAACTAATGAATCATAAATTAAAGCTTGTGCATCATTTATGGTCTGAAGGACCTGGGCGTTTTGCACCTTTTGTTTTTGCTTCTTTTGCTTTTGCGGCTCAGGATTATATAATTTATATAATTCATCAATATCTTCTTCTGTTAATACTTTATTTTTAAATCTTTCAATTGTTTCAGTTGTGATTTAGTTTTTCCCTTTGAATATTCATTATTTTTAATTTTGTCTTTAATTTTAGAAATTATTCTATCATGATATTTCAAAATTTCATTTTTATAATATGGATAATAATATCCATATCATCACCCGTTATATTATTATTATATTTTTGGAGATATGATTTTAATTCATAATAACTAAGAAATTTTTGATTAAGTACTAAATCATCAATTAAATTTTCTAAATCTGAGTTATCCATTTATATAAAAATAAAATAAATGTTTTAAGGGTGCCCACCTCTTTGAATCATAGTATCAAAAACATCATTAACGGTTCCTTTTGTCTCTTCTGTGGCATTTTATTAAATAAATGGCATACAACATCCATTTTCACAACACACAGCCTTAGTGTGTGCTCCTGTTAATGCAGTCTTACCAATTGTTAAGCGAGTCATTGACCCGTTTTTAAGTTGTAAATTAATATTCTGACCATCAAATATCACTTTATCATTTATTATATCCAAATAATTTTTAGGTGTTAATTGTTTATTTTGTCGTAAACTAACTCCTTTCATTTTTTGTGCAATCTTTTTAAAATCACTTCCATCAATTGAACCGTTGAATGATGTATAACACTTGGGGCATAAAGCAACCATGTTATCACCTTGTTTCTCAATTGCTAAACCCAATAACTTCTTCTCATGTGCTTTTTCTTCAGCTTTATTCTTTAATTTAGGTTTAAATTTCTCATTAAAACAAAAGAAATCAAAAGGTGCGAATTTGTAAATGTTTTTATCATAAAATTGTTTATCAGTAACAATTGCTTGAAATGCTTGAGTGTTAGGAAGATTTGGGTCGCCAGCGATTGCCCAATAAGATGAATCAGTATCACCTTCAATGAAATGAAAACGATTAACATTCATGCATTTATACATAAAATCATAAATGAAAACCAAATACCAGTATTTTGCGTTATCTAAAGTGAAGAATGCCTCTTGTAAACATGTATCACATCTATAAAATCTATCTTTAAGCATCACTTGATACGTATCTTCACCTATTTCTCTTATGTTTTTAAACTTATTTGACATACATGCAACGCGTGCCTTCTGTGCATTCATTATTTTAGTCTTTGCGTAATTTTGTGTATTCATTGCATCGTAACCATATGATCCATTAAGTGAAATCTTGCAAAATAAACTTTTTCCTTTATTTCCTTCTAATTCAGCCTTTTGTCTTTCGTTCATAAATTCGTTCGCAAATTCATTAAAGCAAGTGTTTTTCGTAAATGTTAAAATTGATTGAATATCATCAATGATAAAATGAAATCTGTCTATTAGATACCAAAGATAATAAGAAGAAAATGGTTGATATTGGTTGTGTGTTGATGCTAACTGAGTTAATTTCTCTGTTTCTGGTCAACTGGTAGATTGTTTGATTTCATGTAATTATACATAAAACTGCCAATTGTTTTTTCATCTGTGATAATATCTAAGTTTCTTATTATTGGTAAAAAGTTTATGTAATCATTAATGTATTTTTCATCAATGTGACCCTTTACTTCAGCCACGAATAAAGTATTTTTCTTTCTAATATTCCCAGTGCTTTTGCTTTCTTTGTTGCTGTATCACAAATGATAACACCATTCAATCTTCCCGGCATATACATTTTATGGTCAGTATATTGAATGAAATCATGAGGATTAGATGAAAATGATGAAGGATATAATGAATTAAAGTCAACTCCAACGAAATGAGTCATAATGTTGGTGGTGTCCTCATTTGATACAGTTTTAGTTTCTGGATTATATGAAAGTTTATTAATGTGCGTGATTCCTTTAAGATTAACACGATGTTGAACATTTGATAGACCACCAGTAATTCCATTACGGAGAATGTGATAAGCTTCAACTGAATCTAAAGTCATTGGTAAATTATTTTTTAATGCATAATTTCTTAAATTGATTCTTAAACGTTGAACATCTTCATCTTTATTTGATTTTACGACATTGCAATAACAACACATTAACTGACAATTTTCTTTGGTATGTGGTTTTTCATTATCGATTCTATCCAATGTTGGTTTATTAGCATATGTAAACGCTTTACCACACATTTTGCATTTAGATGAAAGGATTAAATCGTGATAGTATTGATAGTCATCCATTGAAACATTGTTTTTAGTATCCCTTTCTGCTTTTTCATCTTGTTTCTTATATGATTCAATTTTATATTTCCAATACTTTTTCGTTAATTCAAAACTTGATTCCACATTTTCTTCTTCTGGATATGTTTCGTTAGGATTGAAGTTCTTATATGCTAACGCGTAACGAATCATTGATGCATTCGATGATAAAGAAAGATTATGAAGCATGTCAATTTTATAAACAAATGTTTCTTCAATAATTTTATCAATTGGGTCAATCATAATTTCAACGTCTTTATTGCAATAATGAATAAAATATTCTAATCTATTCTCAAAATTTTTAGCATCATTGAGATATATTTGATAATCTGAATCGGATATTGTTTCTTGAGTTAATGCTGAATAAAATGAATCTTTCGTGAATGGTTCCTTTTTATATAATTCATCTTCGTAATTTTCCCACGTGATGAATTGATAAGGGAAAAAGGATTTAACACGTGATTTATTGTTTCCGAAATCTTGAGTGAATTGGTCTAATGTCCCACCCGCTATATAATTTCTGATGTCAATAAATCTTAATTCATATGGACAGTTTGTTTTCTTTACAATGATTTGCTTAAATTGTGAAGATGAACCCAGCATTGATTTTATTTTCCATTTTGCAGTGTTTAAATCACGAAGAATTAAATTTAAATCAAACTTTCCCGAATTAAAACCTATGATATTCACTTTATTAAATTCTTCATCTAGAAGTTCTTTAAATGCTTCCTTTTGTTTCTCATTTAATGTATGAGACAAAGTCCCCGCCGTTTGGTCCGTTTGCGGCTTCATTAATTCTTCATATTGTTCAATATTTGATTTAGCAACTAATGAACAGGTTGAAAATAAAAACTCAATCCAATCAGAAATAAAAGAATCACTCGAAGTTAAGCAAAAATTCCTCGTAAATGTTTTATCACGGTCTACGACCTCGCCGCTTTGCGGCTTTATTTTGACAGTTGATGATACCATAAATGGTTTTAAGTAAGCGTTCAAAGTTGCACATTCAGAAAGTTGAAGTTCTTCTTTAGTCTCTAATGTTTCGAAGTCAAAAGTAATATAATATCTTGTTGGTTTATAATATTCCTGCAAATTATGTGCTAATAGCCATTGATATATCTTCTGTTTCGTGATATGTGGTGCATATGGTTGTTGTGTGTTTTGCAATTGAACGTCTTGAATTAATCTTCCATTATTTTCTTTACATTTCTCACAATGTTTTAAAAATCTTCTTTGGTTTTTCCTTTCTGGATCATCACGGATAGAATATACTTCTTCTTTGCAAAAGGGGCAAACTTTATATCCTGTGAGTGCTTCAACGTCTGTTATTCTGTCAGCGTGAAGTTTTCCACATGGACTCTGTGTTAATAAAATATTTACTGTTTCAAATTCTGGATCTATCATTATTGATTCCACTAATGGAAAGTCTACCTTGTTAATGTCTACGTCTTCTGGTTGAGGGTCACAATAATAAAAATCAATATTAACGTTTAACATTCTTGCTAACCTCTCACTTTCTGATGAAATGTCAAACCCTTCATATGCATCTATTGCTTCGTTTAAATAACTTCTACGAGTTTTAGGATTAACACCATCAGGAATGTTATAGAAGCGTTTAAATAACCTTCTACCTTCTGCTCTTATTTGATTATCATTCATTTTAGCTGTTCCGTTTTTGTTCATTTATGTAAGAATAAAAAAATTAAAAAATAAATAAAAATAAAGTTTATTTTTTTAAAGTCCGAGACTCAGAGAGTCCAGGGCTAAAGTCCATAAAATGAATTAAGAACACATAAATTTTTATCATCTGCGACGTGACGAATACATTTTAATTTACTCAAGAATGCGTACCCTGATACATTAAATCTAATTCCTGTCTTATTTAATTTCACAACTTTGAAAAGGAATGTATGAATAGCTATAAAATGATGAGATGATGTTTTATGGGTTGCTTCCATTTTTTCTGAAATAAATGAATAAATATAATGTTTATAAGTTTTCATATCTTTTATGTTCTTAATAACGAATGGTATAGACCTTTCAACTTCATCTTCCTTCGGTGCTGTTCTTTCATATGAAACATTATTGGTATCTTCAATAATGAAACCACAATCGCATAAAATTTTATATGTACCAATTGTTTCTTTTGATATTTTATCTAACAAATCAAAAACTTTATCAACACCTGTACATTTATTTAAATAATAATTTGTGTAAATATCATGGTCTTCTTTCTTAATTGTATTTGTTGCATATGTTACATTTTTCAGTGCTTTTTTGAATTTTCAGAATCAAGAGGGGTGAAAGTAATATACATGGATAATTCTTCAATAAATTGTAACTTATGTTTACGAATAAATTTAGTACCTTCTTCTGAAAGTGTTTCGTCTATTTCACCATCTAATAAATTTTGTGTTGATTCTGAGACATAATTTTTATATCTTTCTTCATGAGATTTCTGAACTGCTGATTCTGAAGCTGGGATATTCATTAAACCCTCTACTTCATTTTCATTATATTTTTCAACTTCTCTTAATTCCTTAATTTTTTCATCTATTTCATCTCTTATTTTTTCCAGTCTTTCAATTTCATCATATTCATCATCTTTAATCCGTTCTTCATAATATTCAGGGAAAACATCAGGTTCTTTAGGTTTTTCTTCTTCAGATGTGGGATATAAGAAATTTATAACATCATCTTTATTCATTTTTCTATCATAATCAAACTCATTTAAAAACTCCGCGAATTTTTGACAATTTCTTAAATAATATTTACTAACCTCATAACCCGCTTCCTCTAATATATCCTTTATTTCCTCATTTGTGAATCCTAATTTTTTAACGTTGTTAGTTTTGACACTCATTTTCATACAAATTAAAAAATAAATTATTCAAAAATGTAAGACATGAATTTTTAAAAAAATAAATTTTTTTATTTCATTATGTATGGGTTGAGTGTAAATGTCTTACAATTTATTTTTAAAGTTTATTTTTTCATTCATGAAAATAATTATTTCTAATTTCTTTTACTCTCTCATACATACTAGATTTAAAGAATTCAGAACATTTCCCATAATCTCCTAAATGTTTTTTTATCCCTAACGTGTGCCAGTTATTATATGAAACTGTATAAACTTTATCTTTATCTTTGCATCTTTCATCACTTCCAATATATTTATATCTCAGTTTTGATTTAGCATTTTCATATTCATTAACGTTTAATAATTCACAGTCTTCCTTTTTAAATAAATGTTTTATGTATTCAGGATTTAATACTCTACGTTTATATGCTCCTAACTTAGTTCTAAAGGTTTTTCTACAAAATTTAGGAATTCCATCCTCTTTAATGTCATCAATGATTTCCATTTCGTTATTTTCAATTTCTTCTTCTCGTTTATGAGGTCTTTGATTATGACTCCATTGATTCCATGAAATTAAATATTCTTTATCATTATATTTATACCTCATTAGCTTATTTTGGCTTTCATATTCATTTAATAATTCACAATCTTCATTTTTAAATTGAAGTTTAACCCATTCAGGATTTAAACAATGTTTAATTAATCGCGGAATATCTGACATCATCTATATATAGCTTCTTTTATAAAAGATAAAAAAATAAATTATTTTAAAATTAATGTTAATTTTTTAATGATTTATAAATAAATATATTTTAATGCATCGTCTATATATAGATGTAACAAAAAAAGTCACTAAACCCGTCATATCTACTACTAATTTCTAGAAAAATCGAGAAAAAATCATTTTCTTCTATTTTTTTAGGACGCCATACCCATTGAAATCTCCTCTCAGGACGCCATAAACTATTCAATTATGGTGTAAACTTCTCAAAAATTGAATAGTTTACATCAGGACGCCTTAGGACGCCAACCCTTTACGCGCCCTCAGTTATCAAGTTAACTTTTGACGAATTAGACCTATAATAGTTAAAAAAATCGCCATGTTAGAACCAATAGGTACTTGTATACTCATGTGATGAAAATGAGAATCTGTGCATAAATTTTACACAAATTTATGAAATTAAAAAAGTGACACGTTATGGAAAACACAGATATTGAGCACTTACGAGAGAAAATTGAACTAGCTAAGATTAAAATCGAAAGTGGGCTTAGAATTCTGCGTATCCGTAAAGAAGAAATGCAATATCAACTTGAAATAATTCGACAAATGGAAACTGGTCAATATAAAGGGCAAATAGAAAGAATAAACGACATATATAGATTTTGTGGCGCTGACCCAGGTTGCGGAATGTCAATTACAGATTTGATTAATTCAAAAATCCAAAATGAAAAAGATAAAATTAAGCAAATGGATGCTGAAATCATCGAGCTTCAGAAAAGATTTGAGAAAGGAAAAGAAGTATGTAAAAATGCAAAAAATATTTTATCAGAATTAAAATCTCGTCAGACAAAAATATTTAATTCCCAAGTTATTATTAATCAAACAAAGAACAGATACAAATCATTATTTGCTCAGGTATCAAAACTCAATTTTTATCAAGATAAAATCGAAATGAGAAAGAAAGAAACAGAAATACTCAAGAAGCAGTTGAGATTCTTGGATTACAAGCCTGATATGAAACGATTTAATGATGTTCAGCCCAGTGTAAGACCATCACAAACAATGAACGGCGTAAAAGACTACAAAACAGCACCAATCGTCAAGAACATACATGATAATCAGCATATCTTTGAAAAACAGATGAGTTTTGCTTTAAGTTTTAATCCACATACCGAAGTTTCCACGATTTTGAATAAATCTAATAAATCTCACAATTCTTCTCCTTCAAAACAGCAAAATACAAATATTCTAACAAAATCACCAGAGGAACTTGCTTTGCTTAAGCAAGTAGAAGAGCAAAACCAAAGAATTAAAGAAAAACAAGCTCAATTTGATGCAATTAAGGAGAAATACGATCCATATCTTGATGAATATAATAAATACCAGTCTCTTGATCCCATTGCAAGAGATATTAATCCAGAAAAACTTGCAAATTTGTATAATGATTTGTTAAAGAGGCAAAAGGAAATGAGAGAAGAATACAAAGGTAAAATAAATAAAGTGAGAATTGCTGCCAATACGATTTCAACAATTAAACAAACTCGTATCGACACTCTTTGCAAATCTCTCGGAAAGGAACCCATTAAGCTACCAATTGAAATTGAAAAATACGAACCTGAGTCTTCAATTAAGGATATTTAAAGATTTTACAAATATATTTTATCAAATTTAAAAGCTAATTGTTATTTAATAATAAACGATTATTATTGTTGCGAATTTATATTATTTTTACTCAGAAATAACTAGTCAATCATTTTCAAAAATCAAAGTAAAAATTATTACAAAATCAGACTTTCTGTTATTAAAGAATGAACCTATTAGAAGTCAGTATGTTCCGGCCTCTTCTTGTTTGGCTGTATAATTTAGATTATTTTAAAAAATGAGTAATTTTTTTGGAAAGTATAGTTGTTGTGTTTAGGTTTGAAGTTTACTTATACTGTGCATGTTATTTTGAAAGATTTTATCGTTAGTAATCCGAGATTTAGTCCTGATGCAATATTATTATCCAAAGAAAGCCTGAGTTTGCCATGAGCGTAGGTTTGTACATGAGGTGCAAACATTTTTCACCACATTTATCAAATTCCCAATTTTTTCTGAATTTCAGAAAATGCAATGCAAGTACCAAGAATTTCAATTGATTATTTTAATTTCAAAAAAAATTTTGGACAAAAATGTAGGAAATCGAAATTTAAAGGGATTTTAAACATTATTTTACGATGAATATTTAAATTTTATATCGATCAAAAGATAATATTATTTATAAAGATATTATTTATCGGGGAAGATATTCATATTAATGAAAATTTTTATTTACAATTTTTGAAATCTAATACAATTAAACTGAAATCATATCCAAATTAATTTTGTTGTCATGGTTATTATCACACATATACTATTCATCTATTTTGAGAAAAAAATTATTTCAAATATGATATAAGTTTAATATCTAGAAGAATTCTGATGGGAAATGTTTTCTATTAATGAGTGAAGACTAAATTACTCATAATATTGATAAGTCAATTTTCAATATTATTTCATGGCCTAAAACTCAAACGAGAAATGCATTCATTTGAAGACATATATTCCATATGTTCTTCATTCTATTTCCACTACTAGAGATTAAAAATAAAAGTGGACTTCATACATTATCCAATTTAACTAACAATGATGTTATATTGAAAGTATATATATAAGGCGATTTGCAATATTTGGTGAAATTCAGCCTAAAGATGTGCAAAATTATATTAGTTTCAAAATAATATTATATATTTTTATGAAAATATGAAATATTCACATACAAACAATAGAACATTTATAACTCACCACACTGAGATATTATACAGTCAAGTGTAGGAATTTCACTGTGTGGTTTCAAAGGAACACTTTCAATATGTCTCAGAACAAGCATTCCTTCAAAAACTTTGCCAATGACAACATAACTATCATTTAGTTCTGGAGCTGGATTCATTGTAATGAAAAATTGGCAACCATTTGAATTTGGGCCACTATTTGCCATTGCTACGATTCCTGTTTCATCAAATTTATAAGCTGATGGCTCATCATTAAATTCGCGGCCATAGATTGAGATACATCCATATCCATCTTGTGTATCACAATCTCCACCTTGAACAATAAAACCAGGAACAACACGATGAAATCTTGTCCCTTTGTATCCTAATGGCACTCCTTTTGGCCTGTATTCGCCAGTACAAAATCTTCTAAAATTTTCGCAAGCTAATGGACATATATCAGGACGCAATTCTATCTTTACTCTACCTATTAAATTACCAGCTATTGATACATCGAAAAATACCCGAGGACCAAGCCAATCGGGCTCTTTTTCAATCATTTATTAATAATTTTTGACATGTAAACAATGTAAACTATATTAATTTGACATAGATAACAAATGAAAACAATTGAGCGCGAATATTGCGAAAATATAACAAACAAGTATTTAAACCACGACCTTGCAATTCCATTTTTACAGCCAGTCGATGAAGTTCGTGATGGAGCCGTTGGTTATCATGATATCATAAAACATCCAATGGATTTAACTACGCTTCATAATAATCTCAAGGCAAATAAATATACTAAAAGTGAAGAATGGAAAACTGATTTTCTTAGAATTTGGGCAAATGCAATTGAATATAACAAAAAACAAAAGAATATGGTTTTTCATATAGCATCAATTTTACAACAAGAAGCCAAGCAGGATACAGATATCATTCCAAAGACTAGCAATGACATTTGGTTCCTAAAATTAAGACAAGCAGCGTTAAAGGTTGAAGAAGAGTTAGGAAAAGGCTCACATAGTAGCTCTAAATCGCGTAGATAAATTACTTATCCATATTTCATTACCAATAAAATGTTCAGTAAAATATATTTATTTAATAATTAATAAAAATACGACTTTTTCTTTCAATAATTAATACATCTGTCTAAATATAATCTAATCACTAATTAAACTTTGCTACAAAGCTTGCAGAATAATGAGAAAGTTAGGATTGTAATTAAAAAAGTGACAAAAAAGATAAAAGTGCCAACCAAGAAACGTTATAATAATTTTTTTCTAAAAAAATGTTCACCCAGATGTACTGCGCAGAGCAAATCCAAATTCCTCCGGATTTGCCTGCTATATTAAAGGCCTACTGCAAAGCAGTTTATAAAGAATCGCAAAGCAGTCAAAATAAATCAGATTTAATTTCATTTTCAATTAAATATTTCAAGGAGCAACTTGATAATCCACCAAACTCAGCTGCTGGCTATAGAATTGCGCTTTCCGATTTCCACGATCTTCAAGAAGAACTTATTAAAATTCTTAAAGTTAATCAAACATTGAAGAGAGTTGATTATCAGGTTACGTGCGATAAACTCGGATTTTCACAAGAAGTTTTCGCAAATATCCTTCGTCTCGGCTTTCCAAATGAAGATGTAATTGATTTGTACAAGTTTATGGGCATTGGTGCAACATTACTCTCATCAAACTTTGAAGCATCAATTACTAACTTGTTTAAGATTTTTGAAGATCAAAACTGCCAAGCAAAATTACCAACACAAGCTTTGATCAATTTTGTCACATTTCTGCAGTCAAAGGATCCAAATATCCCGGCAGAATTTTTAGAGAAGCTTAAGGCAGGTGCTACTGAAGAATTTATTGATCTTACAACTTATAAGCGCATTTTCGCTGCTGATGAGTAAGAATCACATAATCCATATACACTAGCACACAATTTTCTGTTATTATCAATCGATGTTTTTCATCCAAACCATATTTAATAAATTATTATTATAATTTTTTTGTTATTTTGCTAAACGCATCGATTAGCTCTGATATATAGAATCATGCAAGTATACTTTCATGATCTGTGAATCAGACTTACGAGTTTTTTTGAAAATATATAAAAATAATCAATTATTCAGAAAAAATGAAATATCATAAAAACATTTTTCGGTGATGGCCTATCAATGTGAATGAAAGTTGTTGAATTTAGGAAAGATTTGTAAAAAAATCATTTCCTAAGAAGGAAGTTGTTTTCGTTTCATATAGTCAACTTTAACCAAAATTTTATAAAATTTCTAAATCTTTGGAACTCAAAATTTTACGTCGAATATGACAAATGGAATGTAACATAAAAAATAAATTTAATTACTAAAAATGTATTTAGAAAAAGTAAAATTTAAGAGATGTATATGCCTGAAAGTGTTTAGCAATAATAATTTCATATTTAGCAAGCGCATCCGGACTCGCCCTCAACCTTCTTGGCTGGCTTGAGTGGAACAGCATTGCCACCATTCTCGCCACCACTTGTAGCGCCTTGTTTCTTGCGCATAGCCTTAGCCATAGCTGTGAACATTTCTTCAACATTAGCATTGCCAAGAGCACTTGTCTCGAGGAAGGAGACACCATATTGCTGAGCGAGGGACTGACCTTCTTCTGTTGTAACTACACGCTTATCACTAAGATCGGACTTGTTACCAACGATAAGACGGCAAACATCTGGAGCAGCAAGACGATCGATTTCTTTCATCCAGTAGTTGATGTGGTCAAAGGAATCACGGTTTGTAACATCGTATACAAGAATGATACCATTTGAGCCACGATAGTAGCTAGCAGTAATTGTGCGGAAGCGCTCCTGACCAGCTGTATCCCAAACCTGCATTTTGATTGTTTTGCCATCAACATTGATTGTTTTGATCTTGAAATCGACACCGATTGTGGATATGTAATTGTCGCTAAAGATATTTTCGGCGAAACGGATAAGAAGGCAGGATTTACCTGTGCCAGAGTCACCGATAAGGAGAACCTTGAAAAGAAGGTCGAAGTCTGCTGTCGACATCCTATGTCAAAACCGTCCGAAGAATTTTATAAAGAAACCGCTATGGTGAGTAGCTACTCCTTATTGGCTTACTCAATCAGTTAACAAATAAAAATTATCTCCGTTTCACGAATGTTCGCATAAAAAAAAGAAATACGAAATTGGAAATGAATTTCAACAAAACGAAATTTCAGATCTTAACCACATGATGAGAACATTAACCTTTAACCAAATATTAACAATCATTGTGGCATTGAATTGAAAGTTCTTTCCTAATTTCATCCGGATTGGTCTGAAGTTGTGAATCAAATTTCTTTGAATATATAATTTTCATACTCTTATAGTGAATAATAAAACATCCGGAAAGCCAAAATATTCCATATTAAAATTCGAAAACTAAGAATAGAGAAAATAGGTTAGAATAAATTAATAGAACAAACAAATAAACGTATTTAGAAAACAATGCACATATTGATTTGCTTTGAAATTGCGTCTAAAACTGAAATTATTCATTTTAGACTCTTTCTCAAAACAAGAATAATAAAGAAGAGGAACAATATAATAATTAATGGCTTTGCATTAAATTCATGGAATGATGCAATCCATTCTAAGAAATCTGAGTTAGCCATGCTCAAATCTGGAACAGGATCAATCTGAACGTCGTCAACAATATCTGGAATCTCAACTTTTTGAATGCATTTCAAGTTTCTGAACAATAATGGCTTAACATTGAAAATTTTATCCTTTTCAGAGGCCGAAGGAGTGATTAACGGGGAAATTCCGTTATAAGTTACTGTTGCATGCTCTAGTTCAAGCTTTTGGACAACATTTGAGACTTGAATTTCCTCTTCTGTCTGACTTTCTTGCGAATCTGATAAAGAAAAGTTTTCTGCTGATTCCAGTAGCTTATCCTTCGAGAAAGCATGCGAAAGGGTCTGGTCTGCGCGACTTGGAATAATACTTTTGACATCTGACAAAATATTTAACAAAATTGCTTTGTTTTTAGACTTCAGACGCCATTTAGTACCATTGTGGAATGTCAAAACAACAAAATCGTCTTCAGATGAAAAATGCATAATTTCGGTAAATGTCACTTTTTGAATTATATTCGCTCCAAAATCTTTTGAAACAAAAATAGAAATTGGATTGATATAGATGTATCTTGTAGTTAATATTCTCCATTTACCGACAATTGACATTTGTACTCTATCTATATAGCAACAATGTCCTCCAAAGAGCGTACAAGCTTCGATGAAATGTCTTTTTGCTTCTTCTTTACTTATTTTTTGGTATTCGTATAGAACTTTTTGGCCATGTGCAAATAAGCTGTCGTCCAGACGTATTTGGTGTGGTATTTTATCAACTAGATGTTGTTTGCTGATATCTTTTGGAGACTTTCCATCTGCTATTAGTCTAAAGATTGATGATCTCACCCAATCATAAGGGAGCATGACAGAAAGTGAGAGTTTAAGCGAAAACACACAATGACTGTATAAATCTTCGATATTGCCCGTTTCTGTTGGTAAAATGTATCTTGTTAGATATAGCTGTTCTCCGTACCATCCTTGGAATACGAGTGGCATAGATTTGCATGTAATTCTCAGGTAAGTTGGGTCATCTGACGGACGAAAGGCAAAAGCATAGTATTTTGCATCAGGAGAATTGATTATTTGCATTATGTTCCGCTCGCATGGTGCCTTTAAATCTATATTGACTGATTTCTTCTGCTCTAAACTGTTGATATATGTTACTGTTGTATGACTGTATACAAGTTGTAGAGGTAATTTCTTTTCTGAAGTAATTTCTGAAAACGGAAGTGACTCATCTAAGATTTCAAACCCATTAGATAAGTTTAATAGAAAATAATCTGTGTCGTAAAATTGATTTAATTCACGTGTGATAAAACTTCTGAATGCACTGCCTTTTGTAGCTGGTGCTACTTTAAATTTTTTTAATTGTTTCCCTTTTCCACCTGGATACTTTAGTATCACAGTTTTCATCTATCAATTTTGAATGATTTTACACGATAAAAAAATATCATTTATAAATTATAAAATAATCACAAATTAAAAATAAATTGTGGCAAAAAATTAAAATAATTTGATCGCCAAATTTTATTTCGTCCATGACAATATATTATTCCTGAACATACAGAGTTGTAACAGTCTAGAAAGCACATTACACCTTTGTGAGTAGAGTTGTTAACAACTTCGTGTATGAATCAAATACATTATGAAAACAGTCATATTGCCCAAAGTCTACCTCCCTTTAAATCAATTTTAGAACTCAAATACATATAAAATATAATCTGATGGGTGAGATCTTTGATATTTTTGTTCAAGATATAATATCATCTCTTGGAGATTTCCCATATATGCATAATCAAGAGCAGTTCGACCATTTTCATCTTTGGCATCCATGTCAATATGGTGTGAGACAAGAAATTTTGCTTGATCTAAACTTCTTCTTCCAACTGCAAAATGCAAACCTGAATATCCATTTATACATTTTGCATCTATATCTGCACCAGAAGATAAAAGTAATTCTGCAATTTCCAAACAGTTGAGTTGTAAAGCAACTAATAAGGGAGGATGCCCATATTTTGAAGTTTTTGCATTAACATCTGCTCCATTGGATATGAGAAGCTTTGCAATATCAAGAAAATTATACATTGATACCTGATAGAGTACAGAACATCCATCCACATTTGTATCGTTGACAAATGCACCATGTGAAATTAACAATTTTACGGTTTCTGTGCATCCAGCGTTGCTGCAATAAAAAGTGGAGATTCTCCATTTGAGTTTTTTGAATGAATGTCTGCACCATGTAAAATTAGCGTTTCTACAACTTCGTAATTATTTTTTTCAGCTACCAAGAATTAACAGATAGCTCTCCGTTTCCTATCAAATTTGGTCCGATTTTGAAAGAGCTCAAAATTTTCCCAGAAGAAGATGACCCCGTCAAAGAGTCACTACAAGGTTTTGTCACTCCTTCAGTGAGGATTGTACAAGCTGCTGTGAATGGGAACTGGGCAGCTGTGCAGAGGGCTTACGACGACAAAGTTGTCCCGGTTTCTCAAACTGGGCAATGTCCGAAAATTGGTGAAGGAGAGAAAAGGAGAGTTTTGGTTTTCTTCGTTGGAGGAGTAACTTTGTCTGAAGTTGGAATACTCAGGAATATCGGAAGACTAAGTCAGACAGTGGAGTTCATTATTGGAGCTTATGAAAATATCAACGGAAACCAACTGATTTCAGATTTGTTCCCTCCTGCTGCAAGAAACTGATTATTTAAGTAAAATGATTTGTGTTTATATATATTCTTAATCATAGTAACACAAGTTAAGGGTGGCTTCCGACCAAATTGTCACTTTTTAGCCCAAGTGAGAAAATTTCGTAATTTATAACCAAGTTTTTAAAAATCTATATTTAATAAAGATTCTATTTTTCTTAATAAATTTCAAAAATGAGGGGGTTCGGAATCGTCCACAAATTGCCGAAAGGGTTTTTGCCAGTTTTGAATCCGCTTATTTTTATCGACCAAAATTATAATAAATATAATTTTCGATAAGTATTCTACCCAAATGATTCTTCAAAAAATTATTTTTCGGATTTTATTCCGTGAAAAAACGTTACAGAAAACGCCTATAAAATTTCGAATTTTCCCTAAAAAATTCAGTGCAGGTCGATTTAAGAGATTTTTCAAAAAGAATCATATCAGTAGATAGGGTATAATATAGAGAAGCTTTATGAATAACTTAAAATCCGGGAAACTCAATATTCAACGAGAAAAACACTTAACGAATCTCACTTTTGGTGTAAACATCACAAAAAATTGAGAGGGCTTTCTGGTCGGAAGCCTCCCTTAAAATTGAAGCATATATTTGTACTAATAACAACAGATATTTTTTAAAAGGTTGCACTTACACCCTTATGATATGGGATTCACTTAGGATGTTTAAGGTTGATTTTCAATGACGATTCACGCCAGTTGTCTAAATTGAATTAAAGCCAGATGGGCTTTATGTGCAACCTTAAGGGTGGCTTTCGAGCAAATTATCTCTTTTTAGCTCAAGCGAGAAAATATCGATCCCGATAATTTTGATGATAACGAATAATTATCATTTTGAAAAAAAAGAGGTAGTGGGGCTTCCAGGCGCGTTGCGCCCTCTAGCCCCGAAGATGTTTAGTATAAATGAAGTTTTTATTCGGAGGGCTTCCAGGCGCGTTGCGCCCTCTAGCCCCGAAGATGTTTAGTATAAATGAAGTTTTTATTCGGAGGGCTTCCAGGCGCGTTGCGCCCTCTAGCCCATAAGAAATTTTGCCCAAGACCCAAGAGGAGGACCGAACCCCAGCCGACCAGCCGGTGACAAAACCAAAACCGTTGTTATTTACATCATATTAATGGTGTCACTTTTTAAAATATCACTTTTTGTGTTGCTTTTCACAAATTATATATGTTTTCATGTTTTGTCACTTTTCTGTCACTTTTCGGGTAAAAACATTTTTATTATTATATATAAATGAATTTTACAAAACCGCCGTTACCGTTCTTTGGAAATAAGAGTAGATGTAAAGATATTATATTGAGAGAACTTAAGAAACTACCGAATGGTCTAACATTTGTAGATTTGTTCGGTGGAAGTTTCTATATATCCCATTTATGTCATACCGTATTTCCTGACTCAAAGATTATATGCAATGACTTCGACAACTATATGAACCGTCTCAAACATATTCCAGACACAAACAATATATTGAAAGAGTTAAAAGAAAAGATACCTATAGGTAAGATGGAACGTATACCATTAGATAACAAAAATATTGTGAGAGAGGTTTTGAAAAAAGCAGAATATATAGACTGGGATAGTATATCTGCTAGACTATTATATAGTGGTTCTATAAGAGTTCATGACATTGAAACACTTATGTCAAAAGTTTTATATCTTAACTATACAAATGTTTTCAAAGAGGACATAGAAAAATATATTGAGGGTATAGAGTTTGTGAGATGTCATTGGACAGAGTTGTATGAAAAATATAAAGACAAGGAAAATGTTTTCTTTATAGTGGACCCGCCGTTCTATAACACATGGGATTTTCAATACCAAGTAGACTGGACTTTGAGAGACTCTTTAGAAACTTTAGACGTTATACATAACCATCCATGCTTTTACTTTACATCCGATAAAAGTGGTTTGGAAACCGTTATGAGATGGTTAGAGGACATACATGACTATGAGTTTATATATGACAAGATAGAATATGAGAGAGGTCCTATAAACCGGAGAAAGTGTCACAATAAAGAAATTTTATTAGTAAGTAAATGTGGTTTGAAATAGGACTACTTGTTTTAGGTTTTTTCCATTGTGTCATTTATTTATTTGACGTGGCAGAAAAGTACAGAGAATATGAAGATGAACCAATGCCTGCAAATGTTCAGCATATGTACTCGTAAGAGATATTTTTATCTAATATTAAATGGACGCACAGAACTTAGCGAATGCACAGCAACCTGGACAACCAAACCCAGAGAATATTCCAAATGAAGTTAGAATACAAACTGCAATGGCAAACTATGGTCAAGTGCCAACAGATGTACAAATGCAAACTGCCATGTCAAATGACGCTGCGTTAGGTTTGCCACCATGGTATGCAAATATGAGATGGAAAGAGTTTTATACAAACCCTGAAGTGGGATATAAACAACTTTATGCAGATGACGCGAACATAGGAGTTGACCCAGAATATGTTTTCTACCAGAGGAGAAACAGAATGTATGAGCTCCAGTTAAAGAATGCTATGGAACTCAACAGGAAACGTAAGAGACTAGGCGGACATTAGATTTTTACATATAGTAAAATGGGTTTCTTCAGTAAGATAGGAAACTTCTTTCGAAATGTTGGAAGAGGTATATGGAATGGAATAAAATCTGTCGGAAGAGGAGTATGGAACGGTGTCAAAAATATTGGTAAAAGAGTAGGTCAGTTTGTTGGTATTATACCTAAAGACCCTGAACCAGAAGAACAAGCTCCTGTTATACAACAGCCTGAACCTGCACCACAGTCAAGTTGGCAACCACAACCGGTATATTAAAAAATTATATTTTTACCGTTCGATAGTAGTTGTATATGAAACTAAGTTCTAAGTAAAACGCATGGTATAATGGAATTATTCTTTTTCTTCCATCTGTAGTAAACCATACTTGAAAGTCTGAAATACTTCCACTTGGTGGTTCGTATAACTTTGTAGGTTTTTCGTAAAAGTCATTTGCCAAGCATAAGAAAGAGTTTTGGGCGCCAGAAAATGAAGCATGAACTATCACAGCATCTTGGTCGAAAACATCTTTAAATAAATATGGTTCATCTCTTGCATATCGACTGTAGATATTTGCTAAAGGAGGTTCAACTTTCTGATTTAACATTCTTTGCAAATAATACCATGACATTGCAGTGAATTCTGTATATATTTGTTCGTCTTTATTTGGATTGTCTTCGTAGATTTGAAATGACACTTGTGAATTTTGTTTGTCATATACAATTCTCACATAAAGTGTGCTATCGGTATTCGCATATTCATCAGCATATTTTGCATAACATGAATTTATTTTATCTTCTATATTTTTTAATGCAGCCTGTAGAGAAGATGAGAGGTCAACTTGTATTAGCTCAATTTCTTCCCACATTTTTCGTTGCCCTTCAGATGTATAATCTATATGAAACCTTACAATAAATGGAAAACTTTTATCTTCTACAGACACAAACTTTATTCTTCGAAAGCCAATAGCTTTTGTGACAGATGGGTCTCTTAACCATCTTAATGGGTAGTCAAAACGATAGCCTTCATGCTTTACGGTATCTGTCTCAAACTTTTGACCGACATTAGTAAAAAGTTCATCTAATGGTTTAGTTGTAGCAACTCTAGAATTTTCTTTTTCTATTGGAAGCATATTTTATCTATAATAAAAATGTCAAATGAAACAGCGTCTATGAGAGAAATACAACACAACCGACAACTCATTATGCAAGCTCTAAATAAGAACACAACAAACTTTTCAAACTATTCTAAGATATCTGAGTCATTGAAAGGGGGTGACTTAAAACTAACAATAAACCCAATGACAGATGAGTTTCTATTTCAAGACAATAAGAACAATACTGTCTGTATAAATCCAACAAAAGGAACTTTAAACGAGAAACCTATAAATGAACTTCTTTTGAAAGCAGATGTTGACAACAAAGCTGACAAAGAATATGTAGACGATGCAATAGCAAAAGAAGAAGAAAGAGCTAACAATGCTTATGCAACAAAAGAACATACTCATCCTGAACTAGCAGACAAAACATATGTTGACAATAAAATGTCAAGTGAAGTGACAAGAGCTGAAAACGAATATTCTAAAAAGACTCATATACATTATATTAACCAAATACCAAGTCTTAAGGAAACATTAGAGACAAAAGCAGATAAGACTCATACACATTCTATATCTGATATTACAAACTTACAAGAAACCTTAAACAGGAAAAGTGCCGTTGGACATACACATACCATTGCAAATATTACAAACTTACAAGAAACCTTAAACAGGAAAAGTGACGTTGGACATACACATACATCTTCTGAAATAACAGACTTAAACGTTGGCCTTGAAAATAAAGCAGATAAAACATATATCAATGAAATATACCAAAGTTTGATAGGAACAAAAAATATTGAAACTATTGTTGGTGACTTTTCTGTCAATGAAGAAAATAAATATTTTAGATGGCAGTTGGTACAGTCCTTAGAAAATGGTACACAGTATAAACTCATTCCGAAAAATAACAATGAAATGTATGTAAGCTATAAAAAGAATGATGGTACACAAGTTAAAGTTCCATTAGACAACAACTGCTACTTAAACTTATATGGAGACGAACAAAAGAAATATTTAAGAGTTTATGAAATGGTGGATATGATATTACCTGACCCAGCTCCGGCACCACATTATTATGACTATGGAGATGACGACAGAACACCACATGTAGATGAACAAAAGCTAACATTATATTTAGATTATTATAGATATAAAAGATATAATGCAATAGAAAAAACGAGAATAGTATATTATTATACAGATGACAGAAATAAATATTATAGTCAAGATTTTACCTACCCTGAAAACATAAGATTATATTATAAAAAATATTCTGACACAAACCAGAAGAAACCTGAAATAGTTGCACTATATCTTAAGTTCAAAAGAGACAATCCTATAATATCTCATATGTTTGATTTAATGAACCCAGTAGGTTCTATTTATACATCTATGGATGCAAGAGGTCCTCAAGTAATGTTTGGTGTTGGTGCATGGGAACAAATAGTCGACAGGTTTTTGTATTGTGCAAACTCTTCAAAGGAAACAGGTGGAAGTAAAACGATTTCAGGTGAAAATTTACCTGCACACAGTCATTACATAGATTTAAGTACATCTCAAGCAGGTTGGCATAAGCATAGATATTGGGATTGGTCATGAATGACAAAAGGTAAAGGATATGATGTTAAAGACGACGTTAAGTTTGCTATAAATTGTTACTGGAGTGACACTCAGGGAGAAGGAAACCATACACATTTCGTTTCAGGATATACACAAACAACGGGACAAAGTAAAGAATACATGCCACCTTACATGACAGTTTACGCATGGTATAGAATTGCTTAGTCGTCATTTTCAACTTCTTTAGCATATTCGTCAGGAGTTGTCTTATATTTGTTAGGAACTGTCTTTGAAAGTATACCACCTTGAACTTTGACAAGTTTGAAACGAGGTCTGACAATAGTAGTTTTATCTTCTGCTTGCAGTGTGTACATTTTGCCATGTTTGCCTAAAACTTCATAATATTCTCTTGTATACTTTCTTCTATTTTTACGAACACGAATGTGAGTACCTGTCGAGTTCCCATTGTTGTCATAGTCAATAGTATTTTCATATGGGTCGCGTTTAGGTATTTCTATTTTTACTTTGTCACCTTTCTGAAGTTTGAAGCCCGGCATTCTTTCTTGTTTGTCTCTTTTGACTAAATTATTAAATATATAGTCTTTCTCTAAGTCAGGGTTGTTTTTCATTTCTTCGGGGGAGTGGTTTCCCAAACCTTTTTGTTTACGGTTATTGTAAATATTTAAAACTTGTCTCATCTTTGCCTGGGAGAAGTGTCTATACTTGTCGTCATATGACATTTCATTTGCTTCACCACCTTGTGGTTGGTTTAAGTCTCTTAACATTTTTATACATCCGTCAATGATACCAAGAGCAGAATGGTTTTGGTCGACAATGAAATATTGGTTTACATTTTTTGAACGCAGATAGTTTTTTACATCATCTGATTTGAAAGAACTTTCACAGTCAGATGTCAGTTTTGTTGGATGGTATTTGTCAACGAATATTGTCAAAGCTGCTAAGATATCTAAAATAGCTTTGGACTGTAATGGTATGGCTTCACAGTATCTTATGTTTTGACCAACAAATATTAACCAGTATGGTGGTCCATCTTCTCTATACCTCGGAATGTTTTCCAAGATATCCATAAACCAAGCATTTGGTGTTGAACTAAAGATTTTTATCATGAGTGCTTTCTTTGTCGCTTTAGAAACATAGGGGTCCTTGTTCGGATTCGTCATTTTTTACCCTATAAGAAATGGGTTTATTTGGCGCATTAGCAGGAGTCGCATCTAGATTTTTACCCGCAGTGGGAACAATAGCCAGAGGTGCATTTGGAATTGGAAGGAAGATTTTGAGTACATTAGGTATACTGAAAGAGAAAGCACAACCTATTATACAAACTGTACAGAAAGGTTGGGATGTAGCACGAGATGCAACAAATCTTATTCCAAATCCTGAAACAAGAGGAAAAGTTCAAGGATGGATGGACAATGTAGGAAGACAAGCAGGAAACTATTATAACAAAGCAAATGACTACTATAACCAAGCAGGACACTATATGGACCAAGGTGAAAGATTCTTTAACAGAGGATATAACTATGCACAACAGTGAGTAAACAATAACCAACCTCAACCACCTCAAACTTGGGAAATGTAAGGTTTTTAACTAGGATGAAATGAACAATGCAGCATTGAGACAAATGAGTTCAAGATGGATTTGTCGGCTTCCAGCATTTAAACCGATACCATATAGTCAGGCTCAGCATGTGAAACTGAATGATATTATTAAAGGAACCATCCCACCTCCACAACAACAACCAGTTGAAAACAAACCAAACTAAAATTTTTTACTGAGATGAAATGACCGAAGAAGTTGAAACGGTAGATTTGACACCACAAACAAAAAGTTCAGAACCATTGTCAAAACCTGTCAAAGAACTTACAGATGAAGAGAAAAATTCAATAATAGAAAGTGCCAGGTCTGGAAATACAAACCCTAACTATAAAGTCACTTTTCATAGAAATGGAACGGCTAGTATCTCAAAAAAGAAACAGACTCTCACAAATAAAATATTGAAGTCTGAAGGAGCTTTCGAGACAACAGATGGAAAAGTTTACTTCACTGACCAACAGTTCATTATAGAACATCTCATTGACTTAGAGTCGAAATATTCTAAACTTTACAACAAACACAAAAAGTTGAAAGGAAAACAAAAACAAATGGCATATGATATTTATGAAGATGTTGACGACACAACTGTTCCTGCAAGTGAAGTAAAGTCAGAGGAACCGAAAAGTGACGAAAAACAGATAGAAGAAGAAAAACCGATAGAAGAAGAAAAACCAAAACCAAAGTTTAGTTTCCAAACTAAACCAAGTCAACCTTCATTAGCTGGTATGGGTTGGCGTCAAAGACTTATGGCAGCAGGCGGTTATGTAAAGTAAAGAAAAAATATTTTTTTATTTTTATAAAAATGCCCCCATATAGAATGGACAGAAAGTCTGCTAGAATAAAAGCAGAGTTACAAAGATATGGTTGGAGAGTTTCGAAGAAGTTTAAATATAGGAAGGGAAAGCCAATAAAAGTCTATGACAAATTGGCAGGTCTGACCTACGAATTAGATTTGGAAACAGCACGTGCCAATTATCCAAACAGACTAGAGAGGTTAGAAGAAGAACGTCTTATGGACATGCCTTTCGATGTTAGTGAACCTCAAGTTGAAGGACACGACGGCTTTGCCAGATTCTACTGGAAACATGACGAACAATTGCATCCTTTGAGAAGGAAAAAAGGAAAAGGTGAAGACGCACATGCTCCCATGGAAAGAACAAGATATGCATATGAAAAGTATCGTGAAGTTAGAAGTCAAATTACATCTGGTCGAACCTTTACAGTAAACTTTGACGAAGGAAAGAACAAAGAAGGCTTCATGGGAGTACTTGCTGCAATTCAAGACGGAAATAAGAAAGGACACAATCTCGGATTGACCATAACAGATTTGGATGGTCACATTTACTATGCACATGGCAATGAACAAACAGCCGCAAAACTTCTTGACGCTTTCAAGACTACAAAGAGAGAACAAATGGTTGACTCCGACTCAGACATTTTGAATGCAATTGAAGGAATTGCAAGTGTCAAGTTCGAATGGTACCAACCTAACCCTCAAGCAGTCAGACAACATGCTGGATACTTCCAGTTCATAAATAAGTCTGACATTGACTTGACAAGGTATGGAATTTACAATTCAATTGAAACAATTGTCAATGAACCTTGTATTCTTACATGTCTCAGGAACTCTGGTCTTGTTACATATGAGAAGATGAAGTATCTTGAGTCATGTGTGAAGACAAGGTACATTCTCAGAGGTCAATTGGCAAAAATTGCACCGTTGGCAAATGTCAATATCCGAGTCAACATACCTACAGCTAAAGGTTCTTCACATGACGACTATGTTGTTGACAAAGACTTACCATGGTTGAAGATTGTAATTGTCCACAACCACTTCATGTTGAACGAAAGTCTTACAAACCCATTCTTTGGTAAAAGTAAGTGCAACATTGTCAGAGCTGTAAACATTCTTTTCGAGAAAGGTTTGTTGGAACCAATTCCAGATGACAAGCTGACAGAAACTTTTGTACCAAAAGACGAAACAAACTTTTCATTGTTAGCAAGACCAAAAGTTGTTCCAGACAAAGTTCTAGTACAAAAGAAGTACACAGTTCCACAAGGGGTTGGTATGTTCGGATACCAACCTGAACCAGAAGAACTTCCAATGAGGTTGCAAGAACTTCAAGATGCTATAAACAAACTTCCATTGAGACATCCAATTGACGTCAAATTGTATTGGAGAGCATCTGAGTTAGGTCAGAAGGTTTTATATGAAACAGGTTGCTTCGACGATGTTTATGAGATAACAGGAGAAGTTTCTCAGAAGATAAGAGACTCACTTGAATTTCCACAAACTGGACCAATTGGTTGCGACAAGTTCGACTCAGATGAAAAGATATACTATGTCGACCTTAACGCTGCATACATGAGGTTTGTCCAATATATTCCGACTGGAATTCCAAACGAAGATGGTGAGTTCCCGGGAAGGAACTATACAGTTGGAAAAGTCATACAACAACTGTATGATATTAGGAAAGCTTCAAACCCCAAACTTGCAATGACACTCAAATTGCTTATGAATTCGACATGGGGATATTCCATTAAGAAACCTCAAGAGATGAAGAGTAAACATTATGAGAAGGTCGACAACTTTGTTGAAAGGTTTTCTCCTTTTGTTTTGAAGTACGAATTCACTCAAGGTCAAAGTGGCTTAGTAACCACATTAAAACCTATTGTCGAACATTGGTCTTACCCTCAGTTCGCAAAGGCAGTCCTTGACAACTACAACAAATTCTTCTCCGAAGTCAAATCCAAAGTGAAGGTTTACTATGAGAACATTGACGCACTCATGACGAACGAAGAAGGCTATAACAAACTCATTGAAATGGGAATGGTCGGTGAAAAGATGGGCTGTTTTAAGCTAGCTAAGGTATTTTCCGAAGTTCATGTAATATCGAAAAGGAAATATTGGGGCATACTTGAAGACGGCACAGAAATAAAACATTGCATGAAATAAAAAATTTATTTTTTAAAAAGTGACATTTTTTTATTTTATTTGAAATGTACGCTGAGTTTGTTGGAGAAGACCGTTGGGAAACTTGTTTGTTAGATGAGAAATATGAAATTCACTGTTGTGAGTCATTTGAAGTCAGAAACAAAAAGACAAAAAGAGTTTTAAGCGAATGGGAGCGAAATGACGGATATGCTATTATGAAGATGGGTGGAAAACACTATCTTAAACATGTTGTCATTGCAACTCATTTTATACTGAATCCTAACAATTTACCTTTTGTAGACTATATAAACCATATAAGAAACGACAATAGACTTGAAAACTTACGTTGGATCACTCGTTCTGAAAACAATAAGAACAAAGGCAAATTTGGAGATATTGTATTCGAATTTGTTGACGAACTAGAAGATGAAACAATTGAAATTACAGACTATGGCAAGCATACGTTTGAGTTTTACTACTATAGCGAAGAACAAGACTCTTTCTACTTTTATACCGGTGTAAACTATAGGAAATTACAAGTATATTTTACTAAGGCGGGCTATGCTTATGTAAACACTAGAGATACAGATGGAAAATACGTTCAAATACTTCTTAACAAATTCAAGAAGCTATATGGCATACCATTTTAAAACAATATATTTTTACATATATTAAATGCTTCAGGTTGAAAAACAAAGAACAAAAGTAGCAGATACAAAACCGTTAGACTATATCTTTACAAATGCTGGTAGGACTATTTCAGATGAAGAAATTTCATCCCGAGCATACAGGTTTGACTATCCAATTCGTTGGCTTCAAAGTCCTTCAGATGCAGAGGCAATAGGATTTAGAAGAGTTTTGTTTTCAAATAGAACTAACGCATTTATGTTCGCAGTATATTTTCATGGGCAGTATGAAGGTCCTGATGGTCTAATAGACAAATTTGACGAAATGAGAATCTTTACAGTTCGTTCAGACGAAAGTCTTGAGAAAACTCTAGATGACTTTCAAACTCAAATGAACAAATATTATTGGGAATTTCAAGAAAAATACGACTCTTTACTAAATGGAACATACTATCTGAAACTAGAATATGACAAGATGAACTCCACCGTTTCATTTCAAAAGATTGAAATTAACCCTCCAAGAGATACAGAGTTTTTATTTTGGGAAGTAGACAAACGTTCTTGGGCACAATTTCTTCGGTTACTAAACCAGAACGAACCATTACCACCAGATGGTCCATTTAAATTTATACTTCCACCAGCAGATTTGATGGTTTATAGAAACGTGTTTGACCCTCAAAATGTTATGTGTCATGCAAGTTTCAGTTCAAGCAACAATAGCTTTCTATGTATTGGTAAGGACCTTTATGACTTTGCTTCTAAATTCTACGAACCACCTAGTAACAGTTTCTCTGACTTTCAAGTTTGGTTCACAACAAATGGTGTGCAACATATTATTCCATTGTACTATGACTTTTATCTCGAATTGTCTTTCATATATAACTACGGAAAAGTGCTGAAAAAGTATTGAATGTGAAGATATTAGAAAATAACATTTTTTCTAACATCGTAGAAAACTCATGAAAACAATTTATTTTTGACACTTTCACAAAAAACATAAAAAAAGTGAGTTAAAATGAGATGTTTACTGAACTGGCTGAATGTCGCCTTCACAGGTTATGTAGAACGGCTGACCAGAGAAGTGAAGGAGAGACTGAATTGCCAATTTCATATGGGGTAGGGGGTTCTCCTTGTTTGGTATTTTTATCCAAGGACGTTTGTTTAGGAACTTAACAAGAGCTTCTCTTTTGGCGTCCTTTATGTCATTGTAGGCTGTCCCGTCTGGTATTTGAATTGGAATTCCAGTCGAAGTCTCGAGATTCAAGGTAGCCCTTCCCGTTATCCAACCGTTAACAAGCTTGCCTTTTACATTCTGCCTGAGGAAGTCTTTTACGCAGTCGTTAAGTTCAATGAGGTAAATTGCCTCGTCAAGTCTTTCTTGCATTCCAAGTTCTTCCATCCGACAGGAAAATATTTTCCCGACAAAGGGAAAAATTTTTCCCGACAACAGGAAGAACTCTTCCAGTTGTCCGTCCGTAAACCATTCAAATTTTTGAAAATTGAGAACTTTTTGGTCGAACTTCAGAAAATGTTTTTCCTTCCGACAGAAAAAGTTTTTCCTTCCGACAGAAAAAGTTCTTCCTTCCGACAGGAAAAATTTTTCCTTCCGACAGGACACAAACGGATGACTGACGTTCCTCTTCCTGAATGCCTTCCAAAGCCAGAAGAACCGAAAGCTGCAGAACCACAACAGTCTCCTCAGCAACCTCAGTTCCAGCAAGTACCTCCGAATTACTACCAATTTCCACCTCAAGGTTACTACCCACCACAAGGCTTCCCGAACTACCCTCCTCAGCCTATGCCTTACTTCCCCAACCCTTGGTTGTTCCAGCAAGCTCCACCCCAGCAATTCCAATTCCAATCTCAATCGAAGAGAGACCAAGACTTCGAAGAAGGTCTGAACCGCTTACGCAAAGAGTATGCTACAGATCCAATTGAGAGAAAGTTGTTCCCGGACCAAAAAATAATGTTTAGGGTAGATGGTTAGATCTAACCCGATATCTACCCTCATTTCTACCCTCACGAATTTTCATGAATTTCCTTAAGATAGAAAAAATAAAGTTAGTTTTATTTTTATTTATTTTTTTTATTTTGTATAAAAGATATGATTTCAACAATCGGCACAACAACAATTCAAACAACAGCACCAAACTCGTTAGTCATGAATCCTACGTCAATGTTAGTAGAAATGAAAAACTTCATTCCTTCTTCATTTACTTTCGAAACAGAAATACAAAGAATAAAGCAAGAACTTTTAACAAGTAATTTAGACTGTAGCGCGAAAGATGAAGAAAATGAAGAATATCTTTATGACATGCAGGACATTATTGACCATTTACCCAAATTGCCTGAAATCCAACAACAAAAGCTCACTATTCCTGAATTCGATGAAATAGAAGTGAAACCAACTGACTCAGTAGAAATAAAGAAGTTCATACGAAAGGTAAACTATGAGTTTCTAGGATATCATTGCAACCATAAAGTTATGGACAAAGATTGCGACATGGTATATAAGAACATCTCTGACATATATAAATCTGGGGAGTTTAAGACATACGACAACTTTGTTTCATTAGTTGCAAAATGTGTATGGCAGATAAGAGATAAAGATAGAAGAGGTAAAGTATGTCATGAACAGATAAAACCAACTGCTTCAGATTTAAAGAAAGTCATTGACGCCTTGGTTGTTCTAGCTGGTTTTATTTCAATGTATAACGCAAAAATGAATCCGCAATGTTCTAAATGTAAAGCAGCAATGAGGAAATATAACTACTCCGTCAAAGAGATAGAACGTATGCGAAACGACTATGCAGACTTAAAGAAAGAAGCAGAGAAGCCGGTAGAAAATAAAATGGACATGTTAGCATTTCTGAACAAAAACTATCCAACTGCTGACGATTTCCTTCTATCTGACGTCAAGAAGAAGTATAAAGAAACTTTCGGCATTGTTAAAATTTTTGATATCCTCAGCGAAGAAATAGAAGCTACAAAACTGTTTAGAATCTCACGAATTCATAACGTTTACCATGTAAAACGTTTATAAAATAACTGGGGTAGAAAAGAGGGTAGATATCGAGTTAGATCTAACCATCTACCCTAAAATATATTTTTATTGAATTCAGCACAAAATTCTGAGTAAAATAATTTTTAGGGCACGTGTCAAACCGTTGAGTTTTCACAAAATTCCAAAAATAACGTTTACCATGTAAAACGTTTATAAAATAACTGGGGTAGAAAAGAGGGTAGATATCGAGTTAGATATACCCATCTACCCTAAAAATATATTTTTATTGAATTCAGCACAAAAATAATGAATTTTCAAGCTTGACCATTTACACAATTTGAACTTTGTTTGCGTAGATATGAATTCTGAAAGAAGTATGAGGGTCTTGTATGACTTTGTACTTCTCCCATAGTTCATGTCTGTCAAACTTACCTGCCATGGACTCTTTCATAAGTTCCATGAAATCGTCTTCGGACAATCCGGGGAAAAGTATTATGTCAGTAAGTATTCTTTTAACATCCTTACTTAAACTCTTTGCTGTCTGTACACAAATGACAACTGAGATGTTAAAGTGTCTGAGCTTCTTAAGAATTCGACACATATCTTGTTCTCTGTTCTTTAACAAAGGATGAGAGGCGAAATCCTCTAAGATAAGAAGACATCTATGAGGGTAAGTCTTCCAATCGTAAGATTGCAATTTCTTCGAAATGTATTCTATCTCTTTCTGTTTGTTTCTGAAGTGTTTCTTCTCTAATATTCTCTGCATTTCCTCATTTGGGTCTTTAAACTTAGAATTTATATACTCATTTATAGCATTATACTTCAAAACTCTTCTTTGGTACTTCTTTATCCAATCTAACAACTCAGTATCCTTTATACATACTAACTTAGACTTCTTTATAATATCTTTGAACAATTGACGGTTTTGGTCAAATTGACCAGAAGTCGAACAAATAACAACTAACTCATAGAATGGGTTCTTCTCATCTAGTTTCTTGTTGTTGGCAGCCATTTTAAGATAAGTGAAAGTCTTACCCGACCCAGGTGGTGCAATTAGACCTGTTATACCATTCTGAGCAAATAAGAACTTTTCATGTATAGGCTTTATCTGAGCATTTTCTAACTTCCTCTTGTTCTTGTTTAAAACATTCTCAAATTTCTTGTCAATGTCAGCAAACTTTTTTCTAACATATTTTTAGAAAAATTAAAATTTTTATCTTTTAGAAAATGTCTAGCGATTTCGCTATCTATATTCGAGAACAAGCTTTTTGACAGCAAAACATCTGTCGACCATAAAATCTTACATAGTGTAAACAAGAAAGGTGAATTTGTTCTAAAGTTCTGTTTCTGGGAATATGACAAGAACCATAAAACATTACAAAGAGCAGTCTTAAAATTCGTCAATGACAGACTTGTTGACAGAGATGACGCCGATTGGAAAGATGAAGTCCAACAAAAGTTCTTAGAATGCAAAGAAGACACATGCGCTGTTCTTGAAGATGAAATAGAAAACAGAATAGATGAGCTATTAAAGGACAAAGAACTTTTTACATAGATATGGTTCTGAGAAATTTGACATATCTCCACCAGAGAAGAAGAAGAAGGAAAAGAAAGAGAAAAAAAGTAGAAGAGAAGAAAGAACCTGAACCAGTTCCAGAGAAAAAGAAATTTGACATGTAAAAATAAAATTTTATTTTTAGAACATTTCTGGGTCAATGTCAATGTTCTCTTCCTCTTTAGGAGTAAACACTGGCTTAGACTCTAATAGCTTTTTACCCAATTTACCTTGAACTTCTACAACTTTAGACTCATAATATTCATAGTCGTCTGTCTTCTTTGGTTCATAAGGTATAACAAGTTTGTATGCTTTGCCTTCTTTAAGGTTTGAGAACCTTCTGTCAAAACTTTCTTTGACTGTTAACAAACCTTCTATGTCTAAATCTTCAAATTTCGCACCATTTTTAGTCACAATAGCAAACTTAATTGGTTCGATGTTCCAAACTTTGCTGAATGAAGACTTTTCAAAATGGTAGAAGTAAACATTCAAATATGTGAATGGGTCTAGTTCTTCTTTAAGTCCTGACATGTACTTGTTTACTGAAATATATTTCGTCATCTTTTCTATCGGATAAAAAAATATTTTTTTTAAAATTTACTCAGAAAAATTTTTCTTTGTATATACACCATTCTGAACATCTAAAAGACTTTTGACATTTGCCAAGAATGTACGTTTAGAAGCTGCCATATAACCATATTCTTGACAATATTGTTTATATTCATCATATAAAGACCTTTCATCTAATGACACAAAGTCGCTTTCTTCTATGAACAGTTCATATACACTCTTGTTTGCTTCTAACAATGTTTGTCTCTCTTCGGTATGTGGAATTTGTCTTGGATTGAAGTTAGAAATATCTAATGTCATGAAATATGAGAACAAGTGGTTGTAAAAGTCAGATGTCAAACATTCTGACAAAGCGTCAAAATATTCTGTATCTTGCATATGAGAATCTGACGTTCTGACAACTACATATCTTCTGTCAGAACTTTCTAACTTCATCGGAACAGCATTGTTTGAAACCATAATGAAGTTTGCAACATTCTCACAAACTCTTTGGTCTTTATACTTTCTTTCAACAACTCCAACTTTGTCTGTTATAAGACTCTTCAAAGCATCTGAGTTCAAAACTTTTGTTGTATCTATACTTTGAAGTTCATTGCAAACTATAAGTTTCATATTCTCTATTGAGGAGTTAAACTTGCCACAGATGTTTTCTAAGTTTGTCATATTCGGATTCGAATAACCTTCTAACAGTTTGCACAAAATATCTGTAAAGAATGTGTTCTTACCTGTTCCTTGTTTTCCAATTATAATGAGAGCAGTTTCATTTTTAGCACTTGGATGTTGTAAGATGTTTGCAAACCAACATAAGATATACTCATAAACCTTTTCGTTTCCATTGCATATAATTTCTTTGACATGGTCTAACCAAGCTTCTATAATATTTTCTTTCCATTCTACTTGTTCATATTTATATCCAGTGAAGATAGAATAGAAGTTTGGAGAAGGTGTATAAAACTTTATACCACGAACTGAAAAATCTTCAAGTTTTGACAATAAGATATCCCAAGCATCTAACATCTTCATGCCAACTTGTACGACTTTTATTTTCTTAAGTTTCTGTCTACATTCTTGTTCTGAAACTATTGTTGCTCTTGGTTTGTTAAAGACAACATCCCATTCTTTCATGACATAACATTCTGGGGCAGAGTCAACATAAATGACTAAACGTTTCAAATTCTCGACTGCTTTGTTATAGTCTCTAAATGGACACATATTTCTGAATGCTTGGAAGTCATAAAAATCTGAAACATCTATTCTGTACATTTTTATAAGAATAAAAAAATATTATTTTTTTATTCTTGACTTTGTTGTTCCATTTGTTGCATTTGTTGTTCTTGAGCTATTTGTTGTTGAAGTTGTTCTTGTAATACAATACTTTCACCAGTTGCATCTTCCAATTCGAAACTTTCTGCCGTCATTGACAAATACATAGGACATAAAAGTTTTACAGGAACAAAGTTTGCGTCAACTAATGTCAACGTTATACTTGCCAAAGTGTTTGAGTTCACTAAGGTTGAAACTTCTGCATTCGAATGAACAATAGGCAAACCAGCAGAGAAAGTATTGTTTATACGCATAAGTATCTTTTGGTCATAATAGTTTCTGTCGACATTCGAATAACACTTTGAACCTAAGTTTGAAACAATATATAAGATTGGTGTGCTTAATGTCAATGGAATAGACATTCCTTGTATGACACCTTTTCCTGTTATAGGAAACTGTTGGTAGTAAAAACCAGAAATAAGTTTTGTATTATAGCTCATATCGTTTATAGTAAACTCAGTCGGACATCCAAACATAATGAAACCTGCTCTAGTTGCAGCACATGTTACACCCGTACTTAAAGTATTAAATAAGTCAACAAAACCTGTTGGTGGTATATCTGAGTAAGTATCTTCAAAGGAGTATTTTTTACCATTCACAACAATAAAGTCTTCTGGTGTCAAAAGAGCAAAACAGGCTTTAGTCGTCATTGTGTTTAAGGTTAGTTTACAATATCGTCCTTGAGGACTTTGTAAGTTTGTTGTTATAGAATTATATGACTCAGGGTTTTTAGTCGTAATAGTATAAACCATTATGTCTTCTGCCATTTACTTAGCAAATAAATTTTAATGAAATGATGTGGTCGTCAAATATTTTTATAACGTCTGGGAAACTATATTTTAAGTTCAACGTTTCACCTCCTTTCATAACGTATATCTTGTCAATGACATTATATGAAACACCACAGCAACCAATGTCGGGTTCTATTTCTTTGATGTTTATATCGTCTGCCTCTGTCAAAAGTTTCAATAGTTCTTTCAAAACTTCATGAGGTGCAATGACATATGAGTTCACTTTTACAGGGTTGTGTTCGACCAAGTTTAACATTATACTTAAAGCTTGACAAATCTTCTCCTGAGTTTGAAGTTTGTCTTTCAGTTGTTGGTAGTCGTTTCGAATATCTGCAACAGAACTTAAGTCTCTGTTAACTTCAGGATATGTTGGTTCTTTTACAGGAACAATTGTTATACCATCTTCGTCTTCGTATGGTTTCCCCACTTCAACATCTCTGTCTTTGACATTGACAATAACACTTTGACTGTTTGTTTGAGTTGGTGAATTTAACTTCACATCTGCCACCGCCATTAAACCTTTTGAAACACTTACGCTTCTATTTTTCGGAAATGACATTTTACTTAGAATAAAAAGATGGATGTATTCGGATATCTTATTGAATTGAAGCAGAACAAAGTTTATACTCACAAACAATACAAATACATTGACAGAATAGTTCTTTACACAAACAATGGAAAATGTTATAGAATAGCAGTCTTTGCTGAACCTAAATATTTTCATAAAGCAAAGAAAGTTGGTATAACTGAAATGGTGAAAGTTCTTGAAGCAGACAAAAATATAACTTCAAAACTTACAGATATTACTAAAGGAAAGTTTATAATACAATATTATGTCAAAACTGGCGTACTGTCAATATTTGACGGAGAGAAGTCAGTTCAAGAACAACTTACTGACCTGCTGCCAAAATCTGCTCGATGGAAGCTGTCGTTATGCCAATCTGAGGAGCCCCAGCAGGTTTCATCGAACGAATCTTCAAAAGAGCATCTTCCGTGAAAAGTGCTATTGGTTTTGTAAACTTCTTTGCTCTCAATTCATCTGGACCGTCTCTGTCACCAGTATATTGTATTTGAACTGTACCAACAGTTGAAATACCACCCATAAAGTCTTCTGAGTCAGCAAATGGAATGCCAAGCCAAAAGTTTGAACGGTCTCCATTTGTATATTGAGTTTTTTGACCTCCTGTATGAGTCCATACTTTCACATATGGCATAATAGAACTTTGCATTTCAGGGTTAATGGTTGTTGTGAAGTTGTTGTTAAAGTTCATAGCATCTAATGTCAAGTTGTATGACCTCATATCCTCAACTGTAGAATATTCTTCTCTTGGATAATATTTGCCATCTATGTTTATATGATATTTAATACCAGGGTTGTAGAAACAAGAATAGTCATTTATAGTTCGTCTGAACAGTACAAACATAGTATCTGCATGTTTCATTGCAGTTGTTAAAGCAATATCTGTTCTTGCACCTGCGGCTCCTGGATTTTGGTTTCCAACTTCACCTGCAAAGTCTTTGACAGATATTTGGTGTATAGGGAACATAAGTGGAACTGCAATATATTTGGCAGCTAAAGCATTTGAAATATCTGGGTCCAACATATAGACGCAAGTCTGCTTTCTATTCTCTTGCATTCAAAATTTTCGCATGTAAACTTAACTGTGTCCCAAGCAGTTCCAGGCAGCATTGAAATAATAGTTTACTTCATTGTTGAAGTTTGAGAAACCAAAGTCTAAGTCAACTTTGTCTTTGCAAAATTCGGCGAATGACGTTTGATTTGTTCCCTTTACGTCTGTAATAGTGAATGGGTCTTGTGTTGGTGCAATGACTAAGTTATTTTTGCTTGGAGTAAGTTCGATAGAAATTTTTCCTGCCCAGTTTGGCAAGTATCTTAAGAAACCTAAAGATGAGGAAAGATGACAAAGGAATCTAAGTTTCAGTTACTTTGGTTACTGCTGCTGGCAGTTTGTCCAGAAAGGTTAACATAAACTCCTGGAACGTTAGGGTCAAGTCTTCTTATTTTCTCAATAGTTGCATACTGGTCTGTTTGTTCTCTAGCTTGTGGGTTGTACTGAGTTTCTCAAAGCGAACCATTCATAGTTTGCCCATGTTACTGTTTGAACTAAGTCAGAGTTAGAATATATCTTATATCCCATGAAAACTTCTGGAGCATATTGGTATCCGACATAGAAAATTCCATTGCAACCTTTCTTGTCAGACAACTTGGCAGAAGGTTTTATTTCAATGTCTTGTTCCACGTATAAGAATGAGTTGTCAATAGAAATAATATGAAACCTGTCGCAAGCAATATCTACTGTTGTTGAAGAACCTTCTCCAAACTCACCTACGTTTCCATAAGAAACAGCAGTTGTATATTCGTAAGTTCCAGGAACTATTTCTGACCTTCTAATGGCATTGTCGCATTCGTTATATCATTCGGAAACATTTCCGTTCATGGCATCCAAAACTGTTGGCGTTATATTCTGAGCGGCGTACATTTCATATGGGTAAAAATATAGAATAGTTGGATTTATATGTCATAATAGAACCCACTCGGACCAAGCTTTACTTTCTTCCTGACTGATTTTTAACTGAATCTTTAACTCTTCTTTTTCCTTCATTGCCACTACTTTCACTAGATGAAGTTACTTCTTCACTACTTTCACTTTGTTCTACTCTTCTTTCTTCTTTGGTGTCGCTTTGGTAACTTGTCCTCTGCTTCAAGTTGTTGCATCTTTGCCTCATGTTCACCTAGTATGTTGTAAATTTCCCATGTCCTTTTTGCCTTTGGGCTCTGGTCGCCCATCTCAGGTAACCTATATCCTAGAAAGATTTTGTCATAGTTTGTATTTGAGTCTTCGCTATTGTTTGCATGACTCTTCCTGAGTTTCCGGTTCAAGCTCTTCAAACAGAGCTTGTCCATATGGAATAAGCTTGTTTCCAAATATATGTTTTTGTAGCCATTCTGGTTTCTTTCCATGTAACCAATAATATCTTTTGTGAATGGGAAAGCTTTTACCCAACGTTTCAGTCTTGCGTCATTTATTTCTGTAGTTGGTTTATTTTGTCATGGAACATGTTTTTCAATACTAACATTTCATTTGGTACTGTCCATTTGAGTTTTCTTAAATATTCATCCCTTCTCATTTCATTGTCTGCAAAGTAAGTTTTTATGACATTTTGCAAACTTTCGTTTGCAAGGTCATGTACAATAGGTTCTCTTCCTTCTCTCTCCCTAACTCTCTTTCTAAACTCTTCACCAAATATACCATCTCTATGGTTCTGTGTAGTTCTTTGAGATAAATGTTTAGAACGTCAGGTGTTATATTTCCCTCAGCCATGTTCATTTCATACTGGTCCAAAATATCTGCATCTTTCATATCTTTCAATGGCATTAAAGCCGCGCTGAAAATACCAGTTATATCTGGTTCACCATTCACTTCCATTGCGTCTACAACTTCTTGGAATTGAGGTTGTAAGTTTATGAACCACCTATCCGGATTAGCTTTATGACCCCATTTCATTGTAGTTCCATAGTCTGCAGAAACAAAAAGTAGGTTTGTTTCCATATTGGTTAGGTTCTGAATGAACTTTAAACAATGTTTCATTTCTATATGTTTTGTTGAAATTAAACCTTTTATTTTCACCGAGTTCAGCCAAAGATTGAACGTTATATGGTCTAAGTAAAAAGGATTATTGTATTTGCGTACATTTTCTTTCAGTACTTCCATTCTATGCTGAAATATTTTCATCTGATGTTGGAGTCTTTGTATGTCGTGTGAACATTTTTCGATATTCTTCTACTATGTCAGCCGAATTTTTCTTAGACTCTTGGAAAGATTCCATATTCTCCTCATACTCTTGTTGAGGGTCAAGATTTTTCGGCTGTTCCAAATCTTCATCTAGTTCTGTGAAGTTAGTTTCCAAAGGAGAGACTTGTTCGTTTCCTTCAGGCTCTTCTAGCTGTTGTGCTGAACTATTTCTTCATGTCTGGTTGTATCTGAACTTCTTCCTGTTGAGTTTCTTGTACCTCATCTGTTGGCATTTCATATATTCCGAGGCCGTTTTTAACAAGTTCCCTATCTAAGTCATCCGGACTCATAAACCTTTCTTCTTTCGTTCCGTCTCTATTTTTTACGCGTTTCATGAAGAGAGTTGAATTATCATTTAGCTCTGACATCAAATATCTCGGAGTAAATTCATTCATGTCATTTGGATGATATGCTATTAAATCATATCCCTTTGCGAGATTGTATTTTCCAGGTTTGAGATTATGTCCGATTTGATGCTGAACCATAAAGCTAAATAGGTTCGGGTCAGTATTTCCTTCCTTGAACTTTCTACTAGCTTCTTTATATCTGTCACTAAAGTCAAGAGTATCTGGGTAACCATAATCTTCCTTAAGCATTTTTAAGAATTCTTGGTTTCCTTTTTCTCTACTTCTTTATGTCCTTGCTCTTGTTGTTGTTGTGCTGGATTTTGAACTGTTGGTTGTTGTGCAGGGTTTTGAACTGTTGTTTTGTTGTTGTTGTTGTGCTGGATTTTGAACTGTTGGTTGTTGTGTTGGTTTTGGTGCATGCCTGTGTCTGTGTCCATGTGACGATGTAAATGTTTTAGGTAGTCCTGGTGCAGGTGCTTCTCTTGGAGGTTTGGTGGTATATAAGTTCCACCAGCTGGCACATATGTTCATCTGCAGCATAATGTCCTACCTGACTTTTCTTTTTAAGAAAGCATTTACTAGGTCTGTTTTGGTCTGTTGTAACTCTTTTCTTGACTTTCCACAACAGCTGCTCTAACGGCATCAGGCACTTTGAACTGCCTGTCTCGTTGCTGCATCTGTTATTTTCGTCATATTTTGTGCTACTTCTCTTAACTCGTTGTCGAAACCTTCAGACTTCAGTTTCTTTCCAGATGGAAGTCTTCACTAGTTTTCATTACTATGAAGAGCTTCGAAGGCATTCTTAAAGTCAGCATTCATTAAAGCTTCATTTGAACTGTCTTCATCCGCTTGTATTTTTGTCCTTATTGACCCTATAAGTTGGGCTGCTTTAGCGTTGGCTTGGGCATCTAACCAGTCATTATTAGCTTTTATAATATCTGCACTTTTCATTGCCTTTTGCATGGCTGCGTCGTTATTTTTACTTTCTTGTGCTAAGTTTTCATACTGTACGGTTTGGTTTTGCAACTGTAAAAGTTTTTCTGCCTTTACATTTGCTTCAACTTCTTTTTTATACTCATCGCTATCCATATATGTCTTCAGGGCTTTTTGTTTTATTTCTTCATCTTTCAGTACTTTATATTGAGTAGTATGGTTTTTCAAATTTATAACATCTTGTTCCATTTTTGCTACTTCTGCTGCTTTTTCTGACACTTTTTTCGCATATTCCTCTGTACTTAGTTCTTTCAGTTGTTCTTCTTTCTTCTTTTTCTCTACGTTTAACTCATTGAGTTTCTTTGTGTGTCTGTCATATTCTAGTTTCTTTTCGTTTTCACTTATTTGTTTCTGTATGTCTATGTTTGACTTTTTGACATCTGTTATTTGATTTTTGAGTGAACTCAAATTCATTTGACTTTGAGGGTTATAAGCTGTTCCGTCTGCAGCTCCACCATAGCCTGCCATTTTCGCTAAAAGTGCCGCTCTTAAACCTCCACTCTGTGCACCAATAACTCGGTTTAAAAGCATAGGGTTGCTTGACATTTGTTGCAACATAGTGGGGTCATTCATCATTTGTTGTTGCAACTGTTGTTGTGGTGTCAGTTTTACTATTGGATGTTTCAATGCTCCCTTCCTCTTACGTATATTCTTACGTAGCTTACGTGGCATTTTAAGTGAAGTTAAAAAGCGGTTTTTGACAGATGTTTATATGACACTTTTTGTTCAGCACAAAAAACTACTCGGTCAAAATGTTGTTAGTTTTGTAAAATAACCGTCTTATCTCATTCTATAAGGGGGAAAAGGCTTCTCAAAGTATACTTCCTTGGAACGCCCGTAACTTTTCCTGTAGCGACGATAGACCCTTACTTGTCCGGACAAAGTTATACTATTTTGAGTGCTCTACAAAAAAGTCAACGGCGACGACTCTCAAAAACCGTTGTGTAAAAAGTTTTACCGTTGGACAAAAAAGTATATATAGAAAACAAAAAACGTTTATAGTTCATTCAATATTTGAGATAAACCGTTTTTCCAACGGTAACTATTAAATAAAATAAAAAAATAGAGGGGTTACCGTTGACGAAAACGGTTTATCTCAAATATTTAAATATCTGTCTTTTTTGGTCAGTTCATTTTTATCTAATGGATGCCAACGCTGTTAACCACAATTCAAACATTAACAATTCTCAACCGCTAACCAAAGCCAAAGCCCCACAACCTCCAAGAACTGGCACAGCGGTTAGAATAACCACCAAAAAGTCTAACAGCGAATTAAGAGAAATTCTTCAACAAATTTGCTCTAAATATCTCAAAAACGCCGAAGAAAAACACACAACCAGACGCTACATACAATACTCAGTTCTGTGAAGTTCTGAACAAAGCAATTACTAGTTCAATTGAACTTACTAAGACAATTCCAAGTCCAATTGAGCTTAGCGATGTCTTAGTTCAGTATTTTCCAACATTTACTAAGCTTATAATGTTGAGAACTTTATACCAAGTTCGTCAAAATCTTCCTCGTTACATCCAACGGTCATTCGACACGAGAATTGCCGAATTCCAAGTCTTTAGTTACGGATATGACGAAGATGAATACGTTGACGAGTTCGGAGACAACCGTACAAAATGGTTTGAATGTTATACGACAACACAATTTGAATTCGACTTTCTCGAATTCAACGCAGCAACCATTCATATCATTGCTCTTTACCTTTCCGAACAACAACAAGACCTCGCAGATGGAGATGTTGTTACTGTCGTTATGAAAACTCCTGAACAATTCGGAAAAAAGAAGTCTCTAATTGCCAAATTCGTTCCAGGACATCAGCTTTTCCAACGCACAGAAGTCTTCTGTATTCCTGGAACTAAGTTCTTTGTCAGGAGCGAACTCAAAGAAAGATATAATGTGTCATTCAATTACACATTATATAATGTTTTCGACCCAGAAGAAGGCTTCTTCCCAGAAGCAATGGAGGAGGAAATACAAGACTCTATCCAAGAAGAGTCCTCCGAATTCACACCAGAAGACTAACAATTTTCCGAATAAAAACTTCATTTATACTAAACATCTTCGGGGCTAGAGGGCGCAATGCGCCTGGAAGCCCCACTCCCTTTTTTTTTTGGAATTCAATTTTTGGAATATGATGTTAATTTTAACAATTAAATTCTTCGTTATCGTCTTAGTAAAACACCATCTCGACCACTATTTTTGGAACGACGATAGGTTTTATTTGGCCTGGTCGAAGACCCGTAAATTTTCCAACATTTTTTTTGAATAAAACAAAAACAAAAATGGTAATAATCCAACTAAAGAATCATATGTTGGAACAGGTTCATGATTTCAAAATGAATGAAACGGTTATGTTAACTGTAAACAATGTTGAAATACAAATAAATAAACATTTCGCTGTTGCAATTTCTCAAATGATTTACAATACTTATGTATTAGATAACAACACACTAAAGATCGATATCGAAACGAAAGTAGAATCAGAAGAAACATATGATGTGTTGAAAGAGATATTACAATCTAATAAAACAGAATTTGAATGCAATGATACAATAGCGAAAGATCTTTTCTACATCTGAAATAAACTCGGAATACAAGAATTGATTGATCCATATAAAACACAGGTTCTCGACAAAAATAACTATGTTCAATTACTCGAGATTTATTTTGATATTTGTTCTGAGAATAAAATATCAGAATGTGTTGATTTCATTTCTTCTCATTTCTACGAGATTGATCAAGATGATCTAAAATCAATTTCGAAGAAACTCGGATTTGATATCATTCAAAGTATTTTTAATAATGATAAACTATTAATCAAAGATTAGGATTCGATAGCAAATTTCATATTCTCTCTCATGAACGAAAGTGAAATTTTCTCACCACTCGTCGAATGCATTCATTTCGAATTTTGCAGTGAACAAGTCATCAATAAAAATCTTGTCATTAGTGACGAAAACAACTATTTCAATATTATCAAATCTCTTCATGATTCATTACTTAGATCAAGAAATAACAAATACGATCATACTCGTTATTTTATTCCAAGCGATTATCAAGGCGTTTACAAATATCTTGATGATCTTTCAAGAAAAGTTGATCTAACTTTATTTGAAACAGTATGTGAAGACATTCTAAATAAAAAAGATGATGAATTTCGTAATAATATCTTATTCGAATCATGTGAAAAAGGAAATTTTACACTCGTTAAATCTCTGATTGAGCATGGCTGCGATAAAGAAGTTAAAAACAAAAATAATCAGACTCCGCTCCATTTATCATCTTTTAATGGTCATCTTGAAGCTGTTAAATATCTTATCTCTGTTGGATCTGATAAAGAAGCGAAGAATAATGATGGAAATACTCCACTCATTTGTGCATCACTATTTGGTCATCTTGAAGCTGTTAAATATCTTATCTCTGTTGGATCTGATAAAGAAGCGAAGAATAATGATGGAAATACTCCACTCATTCTTGCATCAATAAATGGTCATCTTGAAATTGTTAAATATCTTATCTCTAATGGAGCTGATAAAGAAGCGAAGGATAATGGGGAAAGGACTCCACTCATTAAAGCATCAGAAAATGGTCATCTTGAAGTTGTTCAATATCTTATTTCTGTTGGTGCTGATAAAGAAGCAAAGAGCAAAACTGGAGATACTCCACTCATTTGTGCATCACTATTTGGTCATCTTGAAGCTGTTAAATATCTTATCTCTGTTGGATCTGATAAAGAAGCGAAGAATAATAATGGACATACAGCAATGGATCTTGCAAAAGATAATGTAAAAAATTATCTAAAATCTTTATGAATGGTTTTCGAAAGAGCATAATAAAAGCTTAACTTTAAAATAAAAAAGACCTTTTTACTTTCGTCGATCACTAAATGTATAATATATATATATATATAAAGTCGAAAACATGAAAATTCGTAACGTTAGAGAATTTCATTTGCTTTATATACCATAACTAAGTGATTATGATAGAAAACATCAATTTAATCTTTTGAATTTCGCGTTATCAAATTGTAGCTTCGATTCCTGAATATTTCAGTGTATTTTTTGTTTCTATCCTATTTTAAGAGTCGGTTTAACTAATTTTGCGAATTCTTATATGACTTTTATCAATTAACAGTTACTGTTTTTTCCTTAAGCAACGGTTGCTTTTCTGTATATTATAATTGTATCCAATTTCTATCTTTGTGATGATGAAGGTCCACAAATACAGTAATAGTATTCTGAAAAGTTCATAAAAATTGCATAATTATTCATAAAAAATACAAACAAAGTGCTTTATTTTGCATAAATTCCGACAGGAACAAATGGTTTTCTATGTGAAAGATCCATTTCATTTGAATAATATTTTCCATTTCTTCCATAAATAAGGAAATCTAAACGTTTAACTTCATTCAATAGTCTATCATTATCTCTTTTAAGTTTTTCAATGGTTTTTCTTCCTTGTAAAATTTTTGATTTGATATCTTGTTTCTTTCCGATCTCTCCATCAATAGTTTCTTTGGAGAAACTTAGAACTAAGGAGGTATTTTCTGAATCTAAATCATCTCTTTCAGATTTAAGGGATTCAAAGGTTTGATGAACACTTGTTAAACTTGAAACAGACATTGAAATCTTCTGTCTTAAATTCTCAATAAATTCTGTTTTCTGAGCAATTTGTTGCTTGAGTGATTCTATTTCCTCATTGTGCTTATGTTTTAATGAATTTATTTCTCCTTTATATCCGATCTCTGTTTGATTAATACTATCATTAAAGGAAAGGATTGACGTTTCAAGCAGTGTTTCTCTGTCTGATATATCGTTGAAAGTTGAATTCAATTTCTTTTTAATATTTTCTTTTGTGGCTTCAAGTTTTTCTTGTGCAGCTGCGATTTTAGACTTCAATTTAAGTGCTTTATCCCTGAGCTGGATTGCTAAATCAGTATATTTTGACATTTCAATCACTTTATGTTCTTCTAGTAGTTGTTCTTGTTCCTTTAGAACATTCGAAACTATTTCTTGCATCTTTTCAAGTTTTTGCTTTTCTATAAGTGAATTCTTAGAATTCCGTTTTATTGTTTTTCTTTCTTTTTGTAAAAATTCATCTGTAATGCTAGAAGCTGCCTGAGAATATGATGATTTCAAGCTGCTGATTTCAGTTAAATGCGATTGATTTGATTTTGCAATTTCTGAGTTTGTTTCTTCAATTATACTATTCAGTTCATTAACTAGTGACATTTTTTGAGAATTTCTTTGATGTATTTTTGATATTTCTTTCTTTTTTTGTTTGATCTGTTTATTCAAATCATTTAAATTTAATTTTAAACGAGAAATCTCTTCCTCTTGAAGGATACAAGTCTCAGTAAGTTCAAATTCTTGCCGCTGGCTTAAAAAACTACTAACTTCAGTGTCATCCATAATTAAAACGTGACGAAGCTTTTATTCATTTTAAAACACGTGAAATATATAGCCATCAATCAGTTTCAATACTAAAATAATCAAACATTTTTAAGAGCAAGAAGCTAATGTATGCATTTTTAAGCAAATTGGTGAAAAAAGTTCATTCTTCATGTCATATCACAGCAAAGATTTGGAAATACAATGATAATACTATGACAATATGGCATGAAGGATTCGCCATTTTGGCTTTTGAATTCACAAATAGCAGATTTTTTACTTAATGAGCTGATTGTGCGTGAAGATTATAGGGAATTAATGGGTATATCAAATAGTAAGTCGATGCAGCTCATAAATAACAAATGTGATCCATAAAATTGTTGAATGATTTCATTCTGTTACAATTATCAAAGATGGACTACGGAAATACGGAAATTTCTCCAAAAAGCTTGAAACTCATCAAGTTACTCCAAATTCATGATATTAACCTATACAATTTATTTTATTAAGAAAATACTTCATTTATTTATGTGGCATAGACAATTTAGATGATTTATACCAGCTTAAAGTTATATACAGCTTCTCTTTGAAGTCAATTCCAAATTAAGAATAATGATATTTCCAATGTCTGATGAGATATCGTGATAATCTTTGTATTTAAAAAGTTAGGACAAATGTATGCAATGCGGATAATTGAAAATAACGGATAAGCAAAAGGTAGCATATCACGACTACATATTGAATTTCATTGCCACTTTTTTAAAAATGTATTGAAAAAAAAAACAATCACACCATTTGAGAATAATTCAATTTAATTTTAACTCATTTGGAATACATATGCATTTATGCATTCAAAACAAATATTTTTAAATAAAGTAAAAAGAGTCGTAAAATTGAATTGGAGTGTAAATTTTTTTGAATATGGGTCGTAAAAAAGGCTCAATTTGTTACATCTTTGAAAATATCATTTTGTAACAAGATGTCAACTTACTACAAGGTTCGTAAACTTGGCCAAGGAGGATTTGGAAAAGTATACTTAATTAAAAATTCAAATGGAAAACAATATGCCTTGAAACAAATTGATTTATCAGACTTGAGCTATGAAATGAGACAAAAAACTCTTTCAGAAGTAGTAATACTCTCACATCTGAACAATGATTTTATTGTTAAACACGTTTCTTCATGGACAGAGGGAAATAATTTAAACATCGTTATGGATTATATTGATGGAGGAAACTTACGCGAATTAATTTCTAGACAAAATGGACGTCTTATTGGTTTAGATAGAATTTGCTATATAGCTAGACATATCATAAATGCATTACAATATATTCATGATCATCACATCATTCATCGAGATCTTAAGCCTGATAATATTCTTTGTTCAAGCTCTGGCAATAATTTCTATCTTAGTGATTTTGGTCTCGCTAGGCCTCTCACTAACTATAGTCCATACGCAGTTACCCAGTGTGGCACTCGGGGATATTCAGCTCCTGAAGTCCTACTTGGATACCCTTATAATGAAAAGGCAGATATATACTCATTTGGCCTAATCCTCTATGAACTATGTACCCTCAGACCATTTTACGAAGGCAAAAGAGGATTGGATAGTCAATATGCACTAATATTGCCATGCTGTCTCCAAACCCAAATGCTCGACCATCAATCGATCAAATTAACGCACATCCATTATTTTTTGTAGGACCCTTTGCCTATCTTTGCAATCAATTAGTCAAAAATAATCATTAACATTACTTTTCTAAAGTATTACGTAATTTTAATTATTACTTTTTATAGCAAATGCAATATAGTTTCCTTGCATAAATTGCAACGATATTTGAAGACAGTTCAACTTCTTCAGTCATACAAAGAACTCCAGACTCGTCCAACACGACATAGGAGGCCTGAAAACTTTACTGGAAATTTTGAAAAGATGGGCGTTGTCAGCCACTTTCTTGTCCTTAAATTCAACTACTGTATACCTGAAAACTCGGCAAACATGCCGGAAAACTCGTTTTCTTTTTCGGTGAGGAAGTTTTCCAATTACATAATTGAACGAGGCTGTGAAGATGCATACACCTGCGCTTATTCTGATTAGCAACATGTTTTGATGGAGATATCGCTAATTTGTCAATAGATGATAAATAAAGTGCATAATGAGCATCGCTTATTCTGATTAGCAACATGTTTTGAGTTTTTGAGTTAATTCTGCATATGTATATAAGTGCATCATTTTGGATATTCTAATTATGATTGAAAGGGGTCATTTTGATGATATTTTCGAATGTATGCAATATTAATTCAGTATTTTCCTTCGATTCAACAAAAATATAAAATAAAACTTTTAAGAATATGCTACATTTAACCAAGTGCAATTGATTTTGAATAAAATGACATGATCTTCGAAGAGAAATGGCTACATGGGCTTATTATTCTTACAAAAGCCATTCCTATATAAAGTGTTTTAAAATGTAGAGAGTTAAATTATCCTGATCCAATTTTTGAACAAAAAAATGCTGAATTTCATCTGAAAAAAATCGGATCTTGACATCAATTTTCAGATTTTTAGATTCATTATATATGCTACATTCTAACTCTCGAATTACAGATTAATCATGACGGTTTCATTGAATGTAATTTTTTTTTAGGGAAAATTATGGAGCGCTTAATTCCGATTATCAACAAACTCCAAGATGTCTTTAATACTGTTGGCCAGGACATTATTGACCTTCCACAGATCTGTGTCATTGGAAGTCAAAGCTCCGGAAAATCATCAGTTTTAGAATCCATCGTCGGACGTGACTTTCTCCCACGTGGTTCTGGAATTGTAACACGTCGTCCATTAATTCTTCAATTAATTCACCTCGAAGCACCACCTCCAGAGGATCAGCCTCAAGAGTACGGTGAATTCGCACATTTACCAGGTCAAATTTTCACCGATTTCAACGCAATCAACGAAGAAATCGTTAACGAAACAGATCGTGTTACCGGTACCGGCAAGAATGTCAGTCCAAAACCAATTTCACTTCGTTTATGGTCAAATAAAGTTTTAAACTTGACACTTGTCGATCTTCCTGGTATTACAAAAGTTGCTGTCGGCGACCAGCCACAGTCAATCGTCCAAGAAATCTACGATATGGTTAAATCTTTCGCCATAAAACCAAATTGTTTGATCTTGGCAATTACACCTGCAAACCAGGATCTCGCGAACTCCGATTCTCTCAAGCTTGCCCGTGAAGTTGATCCAGCCGGCGACAGAACAATCGGCGTCATTACGAAAGTTGACTTAATGGACCAAGGAACGAATGCCAGAGACATCCTCGAAAACAAGATCTACCCACTCAAGCTCGGCTACATCGGTGTTGTCAACCGTTCTCAGAACGATATCAACACGAACAAATCCATGGAAGATGCCAGGAAGGACGAACGCCAATTCTTCGAAAACCACCGCGACTACTCCGATCTCGCTGATCGCTGCGGCACTGCCTACCTCACAGTTGTCCTTAACCGCTTACTTATGGAACATATCAGATCTTGCATGCCTTCTTTAAGACATACAGTTCAGACAATGCTTGAACAAAAGGAGACTGAGCTCGAAGGTTACGGTACAGACCCTACAACATCAAAGGGAACCCTTAATGCTTTCGTTTTAGACGTCATTACGAAATATCTCGACATTTTCAACACTTTACTCAGCGGCAAGCGCGATAAAGACGATGACGACACAACCTCTCGTGGTGGTGCTCGTATTTCCCGCGTTTTCCTTACAGATTACGAAAAAGCAATCGATGAATTACCTGGCCTTGCACAAATGAACGACAAACAGGTCTTCAATCTCATGAAGAACCACGCCGGCCTCTCTGTACCTCTTTTCACCCCACACAAAGCGTTTGATATGGTCTTATTCAGAACAATCGAACAATTACGAGCTCCTTCCATGAAATTGATCGACGATGTTGTCAAGATCCTCTTCGATATCCACAACCAAGTCGATTTCATGGAGCTTTCCAGATTTAATATTCTTGCCGATGCAATTCACGCCGTTGTTGATGAATGCATCAGATCCTGCATCAAGCCAACACAAGACTTCGTTTCCGACCTCATCGACAACGAGAGATCCTTCATCAACACAGCGAGACCAGATTTCCGCGGTGACCAAGCAATTTACGCCGGAAAGGCCAAAGATCCGAGAACAAGGCCTCTTCCTGAGAAACCAGCCGTTCCTGATCCAGTCGGCGTCTGCTCCATCTACGGCGCATCGAAGGAACTCACTCCTCATCAGAGCACAGAGATCAAGGACTTGGAACAGATCGGAGGAAGGTATTTCGACATCATCAGGCGTCAGATCAAAGACTTGGTTCCAAAGGCAATCGTTAAGTTTTTAGTCAACAGATCGACGGAGATGCTCCGCCCGAAGATGATTGACGACATTTTCACAATGCAAGAATTGACAACACTTCTCCAGGAGGATCCTTCAATCACAAGAAAGAGAATCGCTTGCACACAGATAGTCACCGCACTTAGAAAGGCTCAGGTTATCCTCCTCGAAGTAAGAACTCTCAAGATCTAAAATAAAAAATCAAATCTCTTCTTTTTTTTACAATTTTTATATTTTTTTTATATTTTTTAGGGATGCATTTCTGGAAATTTTGTTACTTCCATGGAAAATATTTCTTAGGAAGATTCTGGAAATTCCTTTTTCTATAAGGTCGATTAACACTACCTAAAGATTTCAATCTTAATTAGGAATGTGAACATTGTATATGATTTACCAAAATCTAATTTAGAATTTAACTTTGATAAAAGAGGTGCGAACAATATTTATAGATATATGCATGACTAGGTCTATGCATTTTCTAGAATGAACAGATAATCTAAGCTGTTCATATTGGGAGTGGGCACATTTTTTATGAGAATTACAATATATCTTTATTGCAATAGGAAAAAAAACAGTTATAACAGCGATATTTGGTTCTATATTGTGATTTATAATCTATAACTTATTACTTTAAAAATTGTGGGATAAAGAGTTGTGAACAGAGATTCAAAAGGAGTACCTACCTTCAACTTTTCTCAACACTTTTATCTTTGATGTCATTTAGCTTCACCACAAAACCTCAGTTTATTTCTCTCGAAGTAACAATTAGCATTTTCGTGCTCCAGATGTTGTCTGTAGGGCTTTTGTTGTAGATTCTAAAAACTAGATTCATTTTTCTGGAAAGGACAAATGCAGTATTATAATGGCAGGATATATCGAATTCAAAAATTCATATGAAATTATTCTAAAAATAAAGCTATTAGTTGGGAGTACAATGAAAAGAATATACATTATTATATTAAACCATATGTGAAACCAGATGAGAAAACCAGTTTGTACTTCGCTTTGAAAAGCATGGCATACCTGTAGAATTAATAATACATAATCAACAATCATACACCACCAATGCCTTAGATCCATTGAAAAGTACAAAAGAAAACTCCTTGAAATACATAAAATAATTTGAATTAGAAAATATAATACAAGACATTCAGGAATAAAATCTTTCAAATTGGGAATTGGAATTAATATCATGAATAAATAAATTGCATTTCCAATTGGATACACATATTCTAAATTAGAATATTCATTTTCCATTGCCAATGGATTACACCATAAATAGGTATATATTGTCAGAGTTACGATTTTAATCAATGGTGATAATCGAATTGTAATAGGATTTATCCGTTTAAAGTAATATATTGCAATTATACAATAAGTTATAATAACTGGAATCAAGTACCATGGTAATCTAAGAAAATTATTGTCCAAATTAATTGGATTTATAGATTTATAAGATGTTTCAATATTTGTATTGTCACAATTAATTATTGCCGGAATAACATTTACACTTTTATTATATTCAATCCTAAAGTTACTATTTTCTGAATTAATTATTTTATGGTCTGGATAGTAAGCCAATCCACTGTTGCAAATGTGTTTTGGTCTATATATATCACGATACTTAGAATAATACATCAAAATACCAGAAATATTTTCACCAGTAAAATTAATCTCCAAAATTCCTCCTTTGGAAAAACCAAAAGACCTCAAATATTCTGGTTTTGAATTTGGTTCGACATTTACAATAAAAGAACCTCTATTAAAAGCAATATAACTCCACATGAGAAGAGTTTTTAACAAATATTAAAATTTCAAAAAAACCGCAAATACTTTTGCTCCCTTCTTTTATTGCCAACCTACTACTAATATATCCTAATGTATCATCATTATTTCCAAAAAATAATAATTTTATCTTAAAAAAGATGTTGTAAATTTGATGTTTAAATTTTATTCAATTTCTAGGTTTTTAAAGCGATTTATATTTGTATTTCACTCCATCTTACAGTATATTGATTCAGAGTTTGGTACACTACTCCAATATTTCATGGATATCAAATGGATATTTGTAAAACTAAAATATAAACCGAAAAATCAGAAAGTTCTTTGATTTAACATTGATTATCATTTAAAGATAAATAGTCGTTATTTTCTCTTGGCCTTAACATTATAACAATATGCCAAAATAAGTGCATAATTTCATATATAATGAAACTAGACAAAATATAGTTTTGCGTTATAAATCTAATAATATGGTTAACAAAATACAAATAAACGAATTGTCCAAAAATTATATTGATAACAATTTGACAATCCATTGTACACAAAATATGGATAGCAACATCAGCTGCATAGGCAGCATCATATAACCATGGATCATTTGCAGTAATTGAATAATAGTAGAAATAATTTCTGAAAATGCAAAGAACACTATGGACAAAAATATTAAACCAATTTCTAAAATCTTTGTCTCTATAATCATAAAATGAAATAATAAGTAATGCGGTACTTATTGCATTTCCTATTGGATATATATGTTCAACATATTTGCAGCAATTTTCAATAGTCCATTGGTTCAGCCATATCAAAGAGAAAATGAAAAGTGATAAAGATTTTATTGCTGCAGATAAAGCTAAGAGAATATTTGGGAAATAATTGTAATAGTACACCATTAGAATTATATGGATTATCATAAACGAAAACAAACAAAAAGGTAGTATAAGAAGATTATTGTCAACATTTATTGGATTTGTGTATCGATATGAAAAATTTAAATCTACATGAATACAGCTTACTATTAACGGAATAACCAACTTACTTTTTGTATAATTAAAAGTAAAATTTCTGTTATCTGAATTTATGATACTACGATCTGGATAATCAATCTGATTGGGGCGACATAGAAGATATGGGATATACTCTTTACCATATTTAGAATCATCTAATAAAACTGCAGAAAAATAATCTGATGAAAAATTAATTTCTAAAGTTCCTCCTTTTGAAATACCAAATCCCCTTAAATATACCCCCTGATCTGATGAATCTAGATGGATGTCAAAATACTTCTGTATAGCATGATATAGTTCCATAATGTAGGCATGTCAAAATTTAAATTTTCAATTAAACCGATATTATGTTTGCTCTCTTTACATAGTATCCAAGAGTATACTAAGACTCATATTAATGCAAGAAGTCATTAAAAAGATATTGTAATTAAAAAAATTCTCTAAATTGACAAAATAATTTTATTAGAAGAATTCGACTGATAAAACAATTCGAGACAAAGTCAAAAATTCACTTATAAAATGACACATGGTTTTATATCACATTGATGTATGGTATTTAACAACTTCAAGATAATTATTTCTTGATGCAAGGATGAGTGGAGTATATCCATGATATTTTATTTTTAACTCTTTTATTCCAACGCAAATATAAAATATATTCAACAGTTTTAAAACAACCACACATTGATAAAAGAATACTAAGAGTGCCTTTTAAATAGCTGGTGGCCTCTATGAAATGGAACACTTTAATACTTTTTCCCTTTCTTTCTCATTATATAAAAAACATTTGTTAATCTATTTGATCATCCTCTTCAATAGTAAATCAAGAACAGTTTAAATGACTGCTGATGTTTAATCCTTTTGATGAAATTCAGACAAAATTTCAATGTCATGAGGCGTTCTTATTGTATTTTAGGGGAAAAACGCCGGGAATTGAATATCGAAGACAATATAATACAAGCAAATACTTGATTTTGTTGGAATTGTATTCACTTACAATGCTGGTTTGATATTTTGCCAAACTTTCATATCTAATCCACGCCTGTAATATTTGAAAAATCAAAAAATCAAATTTTGCTGTTGTATGAAGACCATTTTTTCAAAATGGTTTAGGACAACAGTACCTTTTGAAAGCTTTGAAGCCAAGATATCGTCTAGAGATTATAGAGGGAAAAATCAGCGAAATAGATTTTTTAATATCCGTTGCAATATATCTTATTACATTCTGCTAGCACTATTACTTTTATATTTAGCACATCAAATTTTTATGCTTGCAGCAGATTACATATTTCCTCCATCAACAAATTTTAAATTCAGAATTTACGAAATAACAGTGCTTGACTTAGAAGAAAAGGCAAAAAGTATATGCGGCGATATTGAGTTCCTTAAAAATTCACACTTAGCACAAATTGCGAAAGAAAATGCAAGAAATTTCTCGAAGTGTGACTATTGCGAAAAAATACGTACAGATCCTGGCTCTAACAGTACAGAAAATGATGCAGCATTTGCTTATTTGATGGGAAATAAAACACTTAATATATTAAATTGGGTTCGAACGCTTCGCTCATCAAGTTGCCGTTGCAGTATCATTTTTATTGTCACACAACAAATATACGAAACTCACCACAAGAGTGTATGGGGAGATCTTCAAAATTGCGGTGTTACTATTCATATTGTCCCATATAACAACATGGCATTCTTTAGTGATATTAGAATGTGCAGAAAAGTAATTGAATACGTATTTGCCGCATTCCTTGCCCCTTATTTTGACAGAATTATGTTTAGTGACGTTTTTGATACGATTTTTCAAAAAGATCCTTTCCAGCGTGATGTTCCTAGAGATAAAGTAGCTCTTTCTATTGAAAGAGTAACTTACCAGCATCAAATTTGGGAAAGAATTTTTATGCAAGAAACTTTTTCATATGATTTTGGTCAAAAACTATTTAACTACAATAAATTTGTTATCAATAGTGGTTTTACTCTAGGAAAACCAGAATTAATCGAAAGATTTTATTATTTGATGGTAACATCCGGAAGATTTTTCCAACCAAAAGTTTTAGACCAAACATTCTTTAATTATATTATTTATACCAAGCAATTTACGCAAATTTGGGTTGATTTCAACGCAACTTATTACGCATCAGCTTGTTACTCAGTTTACGAGTTGGAACCGCGTGCAGATAGTTATATGTATGATTGGGACACGAAAACAGCTCCAGCAGTGATTCATCAGATGGATCGAATTTGTCCTTTGACTAATCACATATACAAGACCTGCCCAGCTCACAACAAGTATTATAATAGTGAATACAGAAAGAGTTATGAACATCAGAGGTGTAATGCTTTATTTAATCCTAATGATCGATCTTATCTTGATTCTCGCAATGCTACTATTGATTTTTAAGTTGTTTTTGTTATTGTTCTTTAAATATATATATGTATTAATGCTTAATTAAATTTTTTTCAATTTTTGGTTTCATTATATAGCATTCATCAATTCATGTCATATGATATACATTAACTAAGCCAAATTAATGCATTATTAAAATTTATTTCATAGAGACTGAAATATCGAAATCCTTTTTGAAATTATGATATTTTAAACATATGTTTTATCGATCAATTAGTATGAAAAGTCCAAGTAATGAATTATTTGTATTGCGTGCATAGAATTATTTTTAAATTAGTCAATTCTATTTCATTTTCAAGCAAAATTACAAAAACAGCTAAATAAAACTTTTTTGTGCTTCTTAGTAGATATAATCTTTATGAAACTAATAAAAATATATTTTAAAAATCCGCAATTTTTAATTCAATATTCTATAATAATACATACATCTTCTGTTTCAGAGAAATCCTGACCAAATGGATCAGGTTCATCATCATCATTATGATTTTCACTATATAAAGGATTATCCATTGTAACTTCGGTAGAAATCTTGGTTTTGAAGTAGTTGGATGATATAACTGTTTCTTCAACTTCAGGCATTTCAATATCTGAATCTTTCTTGTTTTCATCTTGATTCCTCTTTCTAATATAAATAATAATTCCAACAACAATTAATAAAACTAAAAGAACTCCAAGAACTGCAGGTAATATAATAATTAGCAAATTCTTATTGTTTGCTGTTGATTCTGGATTTGATGTTCTTTCTATTACAAGCTCAGGAGATTTTGGTTCATTATCAAATTTTGATATCGGTTTAATTATAGTTATTGGTATTTCTTTAGTAATAGATTGAGTTTCATTTGATGCAACATAAATGAAAACTGACATTGTTTTTGCGGCAGTGTTTTCTGGGATTTTGTATTCAATTGAAACATTTTGTAACTTTCCATCTGATGTTATCTTATGGACTTGAGATTCTGATGAATCATTTAATTTTGCATATATTATTATTTCATTATTTGATTCATAATCTCTAAATGGAACAAATAGAATAATACTATTTCCTGGGAGAACCTGACTACTATTTGATGTAATGTCAAATAAATCAATTTTATCCTTTAATTCAAATGAATAAGATTCACATTCTTCTGATGTTTTACCCTATTCATCTGATGCGTAAACTGATATTCTATGCTCTCCTTTTGTTAAGTTGCTTGAATCAAATGTAAATTCTCTTGTAATATTTATTGGATTTTCATATGACTCATAATCAATTGTTGCCAATAGTTGCTTTGACCCATCAATTTTGAAATAAATCTTTCCTTTTGTATCATCACTAATGTTAACAGAAACTGTGAATTTATCTTCAAATTGTTGAATTTTTTCTTTTGGCCAGACTGGTGTCAAAACAGGTAATTTTGTAATGACGAATTCCAATTGTTGTGGATCACTATAAGTGTATGATTTAGAAAGGTCAAGATTCTCTAGTGTTGACACATAAATCTTGGCTGTATGATTTCCAATATCATTTGAAATGCGGAGTTCAATGCCGTTAAATTCTCCTTTTCTTTGTTCCAATGGAACAGCTTTTAATAAAAGTGGTGTTTCTTCGTTAATCACCTGAAATACGTATAGCTTATCATTCTGATCATTGTCTTTAACATTTCCTGATATTGTTATCTTTTCATCTTTTGTTATTTTGTTGTTTGAAAGTTCTAAATTCGATAATGTTGGATAATTTTTGACAGTAATTTTACATTCAAGGAAATATCTTCTATTATTTGGCGTTCTCAAATCAGTATCATCATGTGCAAGGACTTTTATATTATGCTCTCCCGGCTCAATATCTTGTATTGGAACAAAGTCTTCATAAGATTTCTCTGTATCATCAGAAGGAAGTTGATATCCCCTCTGATGAATTGGAGTGTCATCAAGATAGTATTTGATGAGTCCTGATGATCCTTGGTCATCTTTTACTGTTGCTGTTATTGGGATCTTATCTGTTGGTCTAAATATACTGGGAATTTCTGGACATTTTGAATTGTATCTATTTATTATTGGAGGATTTGAAAAATTGACATATACTGTAATTATGTTAGACATTCCATTCTTTTTGTTTGAAGTTAGGTCGGCATCATCTTCAATCCATACCATTATAGGAATATTTCTTCCAGATCTTGCTTCAATTTGCATTTGCAACGAAGTTGATGAAATTTTGTTTCCATTTGAGGCTGCATTGATTGGATATGATTTTGGATTTGTTTCATTAACTACTAAGGATAATTTCTTGCCATATTGGATGTCATCATCTTCAATTTCATATTCTATTGTATAATAAGTTTCTTGTGATGAAAATCTTGAATTTGACGGTTCTGCTTTGATTAATCGTGGTGGATTGACAATATGAAAGTTATATTCAGTAAAATGTGTTCCTGTGCTTGGATTATTAACTTCCACTCTCAGTAAATACTTATTTGTAGAGTAAACTAAGCCCAAATCTTTCAGAGGAACATTGGCATTAAATTTTATGGAAGATTGGCCATTTGGTATTGTGTATTTGAGGTATTGGTCATCAACATTTATGGTTTTGCCGTCAACACTATAAGTAATCGTTCCAGATCCAACATCGTTAATTGTGATTTCGGCAAGAATTGACTCTACATTAGAAAAGATTGCTTCTCCTTCAACCTTTATTGTTACTTCTGGTTTTGCCTCAAGTGAGCGTCTTATGTATATGATATATAACAGCATTTTTACTTAAAAATAAAATTGAATATTTTGAATGCTTTTTCAAAAATCAATTACATTTTTGAATTGGTGTCAGATTTGAAGAAATCAAGATGTCTTAATAAACAGAAATAATTCAGATTTTAAAATTATATTAAAAATTGGAATGACGCTATATTGAAAAAATTGAGAAAAATTTTAATTGAAAGAAAATTTAATTTCAGTGTCATGCAAATATAATCATCTTAAAACCCATAGAGCTTTAAAACTAAAGATAAAACAAGGTTAAAGGATTATCGGTTTATCCAAATTTTTTTTGTTGCCAGTTCATTTTATTTTGTAAAAGAACTACTGTATAAGACTTAAAAAGGATATATGCATTATCATTAGCACGTACCAAAATAATTGAAATAGAAATTATCAATTTTACAGTCTTCAATATTATAATAAAAAAAAAAAAAAAAAAAAAAAAAAAAAGGTATTGGGGCTTCCAGGGCTGCGCCCCTCTAGCCCCCTGAAGATGTTTAGTATAACACCAGGTCCCTCGGTCCCTCGGTCCCTCGGTTAAACGAACTTCTCTGAAAAAATGAGACAACATGACATTTTGACAACAGTCCAGGAAGTCTTAACAAGATAGGATGGTTATTTTACAAAACCGACAAGACCTTAACCGAGTAGTTTTCATGTTTTTGTCACTTTTCTGTCACTTTTCAGGTAAAAACATTTTTATTAAATATAAAATGAATTTTACAAAACCACCGTTACCCTTCTTTGGAAATAAGAGTAGATGTAAAGATATTCTATTGAGAGAACTTAAGAAACTACCGAATGGTCTAACATTTGTAGATTTGTTCGGTGGAAGTTTCTATATATCTCATTTGTGCCATACTGTATTTCCTGACTCAAAGATTATATGCAATGACTTCGACAACTATATGAACCGTCTCAAACATATACCAGACACAAACAAAATATTGAGTGAGTTGAAAGAAAAGATACCTATAGGTAAGATGGAACGTATACCATTAGATAAGAAAAATACTGTCAGAGAGGTTTTGAAAAAAGCAGAGTATATTGACTGGGATAGTATATCTTCTAGACTATTGTATAGTGGTTCTATAAGAGTTCATGACATTGAAACACTTATGTCAAACGTTTTATATCTTAACTATACAAAGGTTTTCAAAGAGAACATAGAAAAATATACTGAGGGTATAGAGTTTGTGAGATGTCATTGGACAGAGTTGTATGAAAAATATAAAAACAAGGAAAATGTTTTCTTTATAGTAGACCCACCGTTCTATAACACATACGATTTTCAATACCAAGTAGACTGGACTTTGAGAGACTCTTTAGAAACTTTAGACGTTTTACATAACCATCCATGCTTTTACTTTACATCCGATAAAAGTGGTTTGGAAAGTGTCATGAGATGGTTAGAGGACATACATGACTATGAGTTTAGATATGACAAGATAGAATATGAGAGAGGTCCTATAAACCGGAAAAAGTGTCATAACAAAGAAATTTTACTAGTAAGTAAATGTGGTTTGAAATAGGACTACTTGTTTTAGGTTTTTTCCATTGTGTCATTTACTTATTTGACGTGGCAGAAAGATATAGAGAATATGAAGATGAACCAATACCAGCAAATGTTCAGCATATGTACTCGTAAGAGATATTTTTATCTAATATTAAAATGGACGCACAGAACTTAGCGAATGCACAGCAACCTGGACAACCAAACCCAGAGAATATTCCAAATGAAGTTAGAATACAAACTGCAATGGCAAACTATGGTCAAGTGCCAACAGATGTACAAATGCAAACTGCCATGTCAAATGACGCTGCGTTAGGCTTACCACCATGGTATGCAAATATGAGATGGAAAGAGTTTTATACAAACCCTGAAGTGGGATATAAACAACTCTATGCAGATGACGCGAACACAGGAGTTGACCCAGAGTATGTTTTCTACCAGAGGAGAAATAGAATGTATGAGCTCCAGTTAAAGAATGCTATGGAACTCAACAGGAAACGTAAGAGACTAGGTGGACATTAGATTTTTACATATAGTAAAATGGGTTTCTTTGGAAGAATAGGAAACTTCTTTCGAAATGTTGGAAGAGGTATATGGAATGGAATAAAATCTGTCGGAAGAGGAGTATGGAACGGTATCAAAAATATTGGTAAAAGAGTAGGCCAGTTCGTTGGTATTATACCTAAAGACCCTGAACCAGAAGAACAAGCTCCTGTTATACAACAGCCTGAACCTGCACCGCAGTCAAGTTGGCAACCAAATCCAACACCTCAACCGTATTAAAAATTATATTTTTACCGTTCGATAGTAGTTGTATATGAGACTAAGTTCTAAGTAAAACGCATGGTATAATGGAACTATTCTCTTTCTTCCATCTGTTGTAAACCATACTTGAAAGTCTGAAATACTTCCACTCGGTGGTTCATATAGCTTTGTAGGTTTTTCGTAAAAGTCATTTGCCAAGCATAAAAAAGAGTTTTGGGCGCCAGAAAATGAAGCATGAACTATAATAGCATCTGGGTCGAAAACATTTTCATATGTTCCATTAGGGTTTTCGACTTCATAAAAGTTCGGGTGTACTGGATATTCTGCAGGCTGATTTAACATCCTCAAAAACCTATACCATGCCAAGTTGTTATATTTTGTAGAAATATAAACGTCTTCTCCAAGGTCTTCTATTCTATCGATTTTAACAGTTGCATTTTTCCTGTCATAAACAATATCGAGATGGTACTCTCCTTCGTCAATGTTGTACTGTTTTGCATATTCGAGATAGATATCGTTTATTTTTTCTTGAAAAGCTTGAAGAGTTGTTTCTAAGTTTACAAGCAAATTCACTTGTAAAAGTTTTCCCTGTTCAAATTTCTCATACGTACGTTTTTCTTTGTTATAGTATCGAACTTCAAAAGCGACCGTAAATGGGAAACCATGTATGGCTTCTGAAATGAACTTCATTCTACGAAAGCCAATAGCTTTTGTGACGGATGGGTCTCTTAACCATCTTAACGGGTAGTCAAAACGATAGCCTTCATGCTTTACGGTCTCTGTCTCAAACTTTTGACCGACATTCGTAAAAAGTTCATCTAATGGTTTAGTTGTAGCAACTCTTGAATTTTCTTTTTCTATTGAAAGCATATTTTATCTAGAATAAAAATGTCGAAAGAAACAGCGTCTATGAGAGAAATACAACACAACCGACAACTCATTTTGCAAGCTCTAAATAAGAACACAACAAACTTTTCAAACTATTCTAAGATATCTGAGTCATTGAAAGAAGGAAACTTAAAACTGACGATAAACCCAATGACAGACGAGTTTCTGTTTCAAGACAGTAAGAACCATACTGTTTGTATAAATCCAACAAAAAGAACTTTAAACGAGAAACCTATAGATGAACTTCTTTTGAAAGCAGATATTGACAACAAAGCTGACAAAGAGTATGTCATTGAAAAAGTTCAAGAAGAACATGACAGAGCAGATGCAACATATGCAACGAAAGAGGATGTTGAAAAGAAAGCTGACAAAGAGTATGTCATTGAAAAAGTTCAAGAAGAACATGACAGAGCAGATGCAACATATGCAACAAAAGCAGATATTGACAACAAAGCTGACAAAGAGTATGTTGACGATGAGTTAGCACGTGTGGCTAGTGCGTTAGTGAAGAAGGCAGATAAGGAATATGTGGATGAAAAGGATGAAAAAATTAAAGAAATGGTTGAATGGTACCATGAACGGACAACAAAGATTTTAGAAGGTAAAGCCAATACAGGGTGGGTTTCAGGATGTTTAGACCTTAAAGCTGACAAAACATATGTTAACGATGAGTTAAAGAAGAAAGCAGACTCGACATGGATAGCTGGATATGTAGATGCAACAAAAAAGTATATTTTCGCATGGACAGAAGGAACATACTCACAAAAATATCATAGACATAGCATCTCTGACGTAAATGAACTTGAAGAAAAGTTATATACAAAAACAGACAAAACATATGTTAACGATGAGTTAAATAAAAAAGCTGACAAAACAGAGCTTCAAACGTTAAAGACAGAAATACTTCAAACACTATATCCTATAGGTTCTATTTACACGTCAATGAACTCTCCAGAAGTAGTACTTGGTCTCGGAACTTGGACTCAAATAGTCGACAGGTTTTGTATTGTGCAAACTCTTCAAAGGAAACAGGTGGAAGTAAAACGATTTCAGGTGAAAACTTACCTGCGCATAGTCACTACATAGATTTAAGTACATCTCAAGCAGGTTGGCATAAGCATAGATTTTGGATTGGTCAGCAATGAAAAAAGGTAAAGGATATGATGTTAAAGACGACGTTCAGTTTGCTATAAATTGTTTCTGGGTAGCACACAGGGAGAAGGAAACCATACACATCGCGTTTCAGGGTATACGCAAACAACGGGACAGAGTAAAGACTACATGCCACCTTACATGACAGTTTACGCATGGTATAGAATTGCTTAGTCGTCATTTTCAACTTCTTTAGCATATCGTCAGGAGTTGTCTTATATTTGTTAGGAACTGTCTTTGAAAGTATACCACCTTGAACCTTAACAAGTTTGAAACGAGGTCTGACAATAGTAGTTTTATCTTCTGCTTGCAGTCTGTACATTTTGCCATGTTTGCCTAAAACTTCATAATATTCTCTTGTATACTTTCTTCTATTTTTACGAACACGAATGCGAGTACCTGTCGAGTTCCCATTGTTGTCATAGTCAATAGTATTTTCATATGGGTCGCGTTTAGGTATTTCTATTTTTACTTTGTCACCTTTCTTAAGTTTGAAGCCTGGCATTCTTTCTTGTTTGTCTCTTTTGACTAAACTATTAAATATATAGTCTTTCTCTAAGTCGGGGTTGTTTTTCATTTCTTCGGGGGAGTGGTTTCCCAAACCTTTTTGTTTACGGCTATTGTAAATATTTAAAACTTGTCTCATCTTTGCCATGGAGAAATGTCTATACTTGTCGTC